CTGATCAACACATATATGTCAATTCTTTATACACTGAAACAGCTGTTAAAAATGAAAATCCTGAATGAAATTTAGTAAATTAAACGAAATTATATCCAAGTATAAAAACTGTACTTCATATTGATTAGGTATGGAATTGGTGAACGTAGAACAAAATAAACATAACTTACTAAGTCCCCATAACATGGTCGTAATGAGCACTCCAATGCGATAGTAAAATGAATAGCTGATGCTTCAATGTAGGCGGTAACAAGTTTGTGCGATTTCGCTCTATACAATAATCAGTCAGGAAAGAAAAAATAGAACTAGAAGTGAAAATGACAAAAGAGAAATACAAGTTTAAGCAAAACCAGGGTATTATGTGATAACAACAGTTAGTGAAACAACAACATTCGAAAAAAGACAAGACGGGACAGAAACATTCACTCTTTAATGAGTAGTATTTCATGGACAACTAAACAGGAGTTAATGAAGTACACATTAAAATAACATCATTATATCAAACAACCAGGTTACTATCAGGGAGAAGAGAGGTCAACACAGACGAAACCAATGAAAGATAGTGAAGAAAACCTAATTACCACCAAAGAGGAGAAACAAAGGAAACGATAAGCTGACCACTTCAAAAAACTCTTGAACCGACCACCACCACGACCACCGGTAACTCGTCCAGAAATATCTCCAGCAACGGCAGAACTACCAGTGGACACAGGCCCTCCAACAAAAGCCGAAGTCCTGAACGCCATGAAGTTGTTGAAATCGAAGGAAGTAGCAGGACCATATGGAATTCCGCCAGAACCACTGAAAACAGATGCCGAGACAACAGCAGACATGCTCACACTAGTACTGCAGAAGGTTTGCAAGGAAGGAAGGAAGGAAGGGAAAGTACCTACAGATTGATTGGAAGAAGGGCTACCTAGTCAACCTCCCATAGAATGGCCAACCTGAGTCTCTGCAAGAACTGGCGAGGAATCATGCTACACCCCAAGCAAAATATTGAGCCGCATCATCTTGGAGGGACTGAAAAGTGCTCTGCATTCAAAATTACGACCGGAACAGGTTGGTTGGCTGACTGGCTGACGCCAGGAAGAAAAAATCATGTGCGGACCAAACAATAACGTTACCCTGCACTACGCATCATCATAGAACAGAGTATAGAATAACAGTCAACTCAACTCAACTCAACCCCAACTTCATCGACTTTGTAAAGGCCTTCGACAGCATCGAACGAGAAGTAATTTGTCAGGCAGCTGCTTCTACACTACGATTTTAGTGCCATAAACCTTTATCAATCTCATTCAACAGCAGCTATATACTATTCAATGCTACATGCCAAGTGATTCACAATGGAAAGCTCAGTGATGCCTCTGAAGTGATGATGGGAGTAAGACAAGACAAGACAAGACAAGAGTGTCTACTATCACCGATCATCTTCCTGATTGTGGTCGACTGCATCATGATCATGATGATGCAACAACTGTGAGGAGCGAGTAGAGAGACATACGCTGGCTGGACTGATGTAAAGACTCCAGAGGGAGATTTGGATTCCGCCGACGATGATTCATGTCTAATGTCTTGTCTCACAAACTCGAAGATCTACAGGCAAAAAGCAACAAGTTGAGAGGAGAGGTGGGTCAGCGAAGACGGGACTTCCTTCAGGTGGACGTAGAGAAGACAGAGGTGATGAAGGTGCCCAACCAACAACAAAAACAAGAGGTACCAATCACCATCAACGGGAGAAACCTAAAGGGAGTAGTCTCTTTCACCTACCATCCTAGGCAGCATCGTTTCAACTACAGGTGGCGTCGGCACAGACGAGGGTATCGAAACCAGGATTGGAAAACAGCAAGACAGGCTTTCATCAATCTGAAATCAGTGTACAGATCTACTGCACTCCACTCCACTCAGCACAAAGCCGGAATGAGATCCGGATTTTCAACACCAATGTCAGTCAAGTCAGTGCTGCTATGTGGTTCAGAGACTTGACGCATCACGAAAAGCATTTCCAACAAACTACAAACATTCATCAACACCCACCGTCTACGCTCACTCGACACTGAATATGGAGATCAGATGGCCAGAATACTAAGAATAAGCAACAAGCAACTCCTGGCTGGCTGGCTGGCAACGAACCAACCAAGAAGCCATCGCCCAACAAATATGCAGAAGAAAGTGGAGATGGATTGTATTGAGCATACACTGAGAAGACCGATTGGGGACATCACCCGGCAGGCCGAGCCCTTGAGTGGAAGGCGAATAGGAAACGACGAGTTGGGTGTCCGAGGTGAAGGTGACATGGAGGAGATGGTGTGGAAGAAGTGAAAGCTTGTGGGCAGTGATGGAGCGAGGTTCAAAAGACTACAGAGAAGATAGTGCAAAGGAGGCGTGTTACTGAAGACCAGTGTTCCACTAGAATTCCAATAATAATTATGATGATAGCCCTTGTAAGCTGTTGTTTATGAAGGTCTTTTTTTTTTCTTTTTTTGTAAAACATGGGAGATATCATTAGCACCTTGTATTATATGATGACTAATGCTTTGTCCTAACGCGTAGAAATCCTGAAATTTGTAGCTAAAACTGATTACTTGTCCGTTGAATCATCTAGATTAGCTGGGAATTCTGATCGGCAAGTATTCAGTGATTTCTAAAAGCCACTTTCTAAATCAGTATTCACATTCCTCAAAAGATTGTGCTAGTTTGTAATTTGTTTTCATTTACTCCTTGGAAAGTTCTTTTATTATATTTCTGAGTGACTGGATTGCTCCTCTAGCATTTTTTCGTATTAGCACCATATATTCTAATTTAGATAGACAAATATGGAAACAAAGTCTATCATTAACGCGTTCATCGTTCAAGTAGCGCCACCTCACATCATAAATCTTTATGGTCTTTAAGTGGTCGTTAATTGAAATGGATAATCTGTAAACTAAACATTGGTGGGTTTAGGTTTGTTTCTGGACCCAATACTTTTAAAAGGATGGGAACAGTGAGAAAATTCGACTACTAACTTCGTTTGGAAATACGTTTAGTGCCTGTATTATTTCATATAGCTTTCTACTTTGACCACTGTCTTCAAAAGAAGAAGTACCAGATTTTCAAAGCAAACTAAGCTTATTGTTTATTGATAGTTGTCGTGATCAATGTTTCATTGTTTGAAGTGATGGATACTGGATGGGCGTAACACCACTCACTTGGCTGCGCAAGTACATCCAGCTGACAAGTCCCAAATAGGACGAAAAGCTTGTCCTGGATTCCACTGCTAGTTATTAAATAAACTTCTAAACAAGGCTTATTTTATCTCGAGGCTTTTTTTAAGATGTCGATTGCTCCAAAATGCGTACAGTGATGGAATAAGATGACTATTAGCGAATATTACGTCGAGCTATAAGTAAACGAATCAGCAGGTAAACAAGGTATGAGCAGTGGTCAAATTACTAAGGATAATATCAGGTTAGTTTTTGTCCTCTTCCGTACGTAGAGGTTTGTTTGAGTGTACTTGATTGCAGTCGATTCAACAAAGCGAAGCCAGTTTGCATTTTTGTGCTTATTGATATCCACATCGTGTCCTGAATCGTTCAAGTATTGAGTGATTGCCTTTTTTAATGATTGAGATCCTTTCAGTCGAAGACTTTCGATAATGTGTTTGAGATTTGATGCCCATTTTCTATAGATGTAATTAGAGGTGATTTAAGAAGAAACAGGCTTTTCAACTGTAGTGACACTTTCTTCTTCTGTATTCGCTAATAGCCATTGTCAGACAGGTAATTTTTTAGAAGAGTCAACTTGTCATTCAATTTACCTTCATATTTCGGAAAGGTCCACTTGTTTTCCGCTACTCAAGCATTACGTCCCCGTATCTAATCTTGTCACTTTTGCATAGAATATGTTTTATCCAAGCAGCTGTTCTTTAAGTCTATTTTACCTAAATTACTGGTAGTGTTACTGGATCTGCTAAGTTCAATTGGTATACCAATACCTTGGTTGCTGGCTGCTTGATCTTTCATTCTTTTAGTGATGAATTTTCTCGATTTCAATGCTTTTTTGAATTAGTCAGTTGATTCTCACTTAGATTGATATAACCTATTTCTCACTTAGTCTTGGGATGATAATCTTTTCAACCGTTATTTTTGCGGCAAAAGACAAGTTAAAGATTCAACTCAACGAAGTGATTACTTCACGACAAGTAGGTGTGTAGGATTTGGAGCGACTTGATTCTTCTGTTTATTTATAATTTTTAGAAAATTTAAATTTACTTTTTCATTTGTTTGTCTTATTAGCTATGGAATTACATTATATGAATAGTTAGTAGTTAATATGACGGGTAAGGAAATGAAACCGAAATTCATCCAGCTATCTTGAGCACATTCGTAGAGTAGGCTATGAGTCACACATATTGTTAGGGCTACTACTGTAGGAAATAACAAGACTGAGACACTGTAAGGAATGTTTACTACTGAACTCTTGTACAGTGATGATGAAATATTGTACACTTTCCACTAAGACAGTCATTTGCACAATGTGCTTCGTTTCCTCTTCTGCTTCTATCTCGATTTGCTCTTAGTACGCCCACATCGTCTCTTACCTTTCTCTGGACAGAATATTTACCCATCGCTGGTAATTGCCTATGATTTCTGCCGCCCTCTCAACGTATACTACTTGTATCCATGCTAATCAGCAACGCCCACTATGCTACTAGTTGGCTGTCCAGACCCTCGGTAGGTAGAGCTGGATTCAAACTCATGGTCAACCGGTTGAGTGCCTAGATTCACGGATTTAAAATTCAAATGAATTATTGTTGTTCAACATTCGATGCATATTTTCCCTTTCATCATCGAGTTTATTTTAAATACTAAGCATTTTGATACCTGAATATTTGTTATGAATTTTCATTTTCTCAGAAATCACTTAATAATTTTTTTCAGGTTGAAGTAATCAAGCTGAGCTTTGCATATATAAAAGTACTGCTTTTTTTCTCCACATTTGCATTTTCACTACTTCAGTTAGACCCTCTATCTCTGGATTACTGGGAACATCAAGACCTATTGACTTCCACAATCCACAGACTTCCAAATTTGGTTCCTCTACAACGCCTATCCATAGAAGGCCATCCCAGTACAACCAACAAGTTCAACACACTCAGCAAGCCTACATAATGCAGCCTACACAAGAACGAGTGGTTCTGACAGATGTTTGGGGTACCTGTCTTTCTGTAGTATTCAACCCGTCTAATCTACCGGCGAACTGTCCCATAGCTATTAAGTTTGCTTGGTCTATATTGTTTCAGAGAATTAGTGCTCTTTTCCCGTTAATTGATCCAAGGTAATACTTTCACTGTTTTTATCGTCCAAATCAGTTAAAAGCTGTGTATTTCATTCACTCTTCAAAATACTATTGTTTCCGTTAAGAGGTTACTGTAATTATTTATTCAAACTGATTGAATATTTTTTTCAACACTTCCAAGTATATAGTGATCTGCCTACTGTTCTGTGTTGTAGCTTTATAAGTGACTTTTCCCGGTGAGATAGTAATTAGTACAGTGCCCAAATTCTATACTTACATTGATGTAGTATAGCTTATTAACAGGTTTGCCGATCATGTTTACCTTGTATTCATCGAATGTCTTAGGAAGCTTTCAGAAACTGAATTGATGAAATATCTTTAAATCCATGCTTCAGTATAGGACAACTAGAAAGCCAAGTCACAGTTTATGGTTTCCATTGCTTGTTAGATCTGTTTTATATCTTACGGTTAGCAAAATTATCATTTAATGTCATAAGACTATAAGGGTTTATACATGTCAACCGGATAAGTCGCAGAAATTTGTCAAGAGGCTTCAGGGAAATCCAAACCTTCATGTTCGTATTCGTTTTCAAGACAGGTGACGAGATGTCCTGATTTCACTCATCACATTTTAAACGTATCTGAAAATATCCCCAAGCATCTGCTATTATAAGTGTTATCTCAAAGACTGATGTTTCACAAACGTATCGTTTGTGTATTTTCCTTGCTGATTCGACTGTTTCCCAAGTCTCTTGTACGTAATCGATGTTTTTCTAGAAGAAACAAGTGATCTCTACCATGTGTGGTAATATGAGGTTGTGTAGACAAGCAAGCATGAACCGTGAAAGTTTCAGACGTAGTAACGACTTCTGCTTATCTGTTTCGAACTGGTTGAAATAGTAGGAGTTGATTAATTTAACTGTGAACACTTAAATGACTTAGAATTTTCCGTTTGACATCTCTGCAGCATAAACAATATGAGTATATCCCTATTTATGGAGTGAGCGAATGTTGACGTGTTTATCGTCGTTTAGCGTTGAAGAGCGTTCTTAAGCTCCAAGTAAAACTATACCTTTGTGGTTAAAATTATTACCAATTATTGTTAGTTTTTTCCACTAGTTGAGAAGGCTGTAATTAACCTAGAACGGGGAAGATAAACATCCCTCTGTGGGCTATTACCAGACATATTTAAGGACAGTGTTTGAGGATTATTGTTTAGACTAAGTGGTGTCAACTAGCATATTGCTAGCAGTTATGATTTATTCAGGCTAGTCACAACGGGTGATTGTCCCAGTCTTCGAGAAGGGAGAGAAGTTCTCTTGTGATAGCCAGAAAGAAAGCTTGAAGAATATGGGGTCTAGGTTCTTTAATCGTTGAACGCCTAGATGCAGCTCAAAAACATCAAAATTTAGAAAACCAGGCAAGCTTCAGACCTAATATTTCTTATGTCGATTAGATGCTGACTCTCTTTCAGATCTTGTAGCACAAGCTCACTTGTCAGTATGTGACACTAACTATGTTTCTTGATCTAAAAACACTCACTTTTGTTAGTGGAGAGGCCGTATGCCACTGTTTTTCACCGAGTGGGTTCAGGGTACGTACATCACTCTACTAAACAGCTTTGTATTTAAAGACCCATAGGTGTGTTAGAGCCTCTACTGAGGTAGCACGTGAGTTATTTACGTCGAATGATGTCCGCCTGTAGTGTTCAGCCTCTCCAGTTTGTCAGAGACTATTTCTATGTAGGTCTCCCTCTCATTTGTTTTCTCAGGGTATTTATTACCTCAAATAAAGAGACTCCTAATCAGACCAAGAGTATATTGATGGCATAGCCTAGTTAGATGAAGATGCTGATGAGTTAGAGTCCTCTGGACTCCTTGAGTGACAATATGCGAATGTATTGGGTGGGTTTCTCTCCACCCAAATGCGAACCGTCCCTTCAAGACTTGTCTGACTTATCATCTCACCTAACGAAGGGATTGAAGTGGTTGGACGTATCAGCCACCTAATTTGCTTTGGAATTAATATCAGCGGTGGTAGGTCAGTAAACGACGAAATCTCGGTATGGATAACAAAAGGCTCGATTAACTTTACTAACTCACCCCATCCATTGCATTAGAGTGATATCTGATAACCTTCTAATGGTCGATTGTACCGTGCTGTAGTTCTCTCCGTTCTGCCATATTTCTCTGAAACTTGGGCATTTACAGTGGGCATAAAGTGGCTTCATGTGTTCGACTACCATTACCTTAGTAGCAAAGACCGTGCGTTGTGGTGCCACCATGTTTGTATTGCAGAAGTCCAGTGTAGATTCTAAGTAAGAGAGGTTTGTTGGTTAGTGAAGTTGTGAACCTTCATGAACTGAGGTGTTTGCAACATGTGTTGTTGATGTCTAGTCACCGTCCGCCACGTTGTGGATTGCCATGTGAAGTAGTTTAGGGTTGGGGAAGGTTAAGAGGTGATTAGAATAAAACATTGTGTCAGTCTATGAAGTTTCTGATTTTTTCTTTGGAGTGTGTAGGAAGGGTTTCAGGTTTCTCGGTTGGGCTTTCGCTTGACAGACGAAATTGGTAATTGGACACTTTAGGCGATATAACCGAGAATCTATCGGAATGGGGAATATATTCTTCCACACAGTCTGTATTTATCTTAGTCACCATGCTGAATTTCACTTTTCTCATTCTTATCCCCTTTTCTATGACTTTCCTTTACTTTTAATTACTTTTTTCCTTATCTCCCGATCCTTCATTTCTGTGTCTTCTCTCGTGTTGTGGTGATATTGTTGTGTGGCTACTTACCGGTTCTCACGTTCGTACTGACTGACTTACTAGAGCGGTTCACATAATTTCATCTCTATATGTTAAATGCGAATGCTGCATGCATAAAAGAGACTATCATTTCTGCAGTGTGTTACTTTGATTTTTGTAGCACACAAATGGCGGAGAATCGTGCATCTTCATTACTTCGCACCGCTAGTAAGAAGCCAGCGAATGAACGTGAACAATTCCTTCCTTTATGGCACAATTATGTTGTTGTGGGCTGTTGTATAGCACCAAGTTCTACTGGTCTACGCATTTCAAAACCTGCAGAAACGTGCTATCAGCCAGAATTACATTTGCAAAAGAATTCACCGATTCTTCGACAAAGTCGTATGGTCTTCAGTAAGTTAAGGTTTCATATTCACTAAGTTTTTTGTTTTTAAGGATTGATTTTGTTTTATAAGTTTGTCGGTTAGTAGAAGAATCGTTGGGTTACCGATTGAATGGTGTGACACAAAAGTTGGTACAGGTTTTTAGCCACAAAGCAACAAACAAAAGTCAAGAGACCTAACTGATATCAAAAGATCTCAGAAGACAATACATAGAGCATATACTACCAGTGCAGTAGGATGGTTAGCTATAATTGTTTGATCAAAAGTTCACCTGCTTCCGTCAGATACTATTGACTCACTGCCTTTTCGATTCCAGTTACATCACATTGCCCATACCTGTACTAGATGTTTTAATATTATTTGTTGCTTTGGCACTGTCAAGCTTTTAAAATCTAAACGTTTACGACAAAGCATATCTTGCCACTAAGTATCAAATACAGACTACTCGTCGATTATCCTACGGGTGGAAAATCATCGGATGAAGTGGAAGAGGAATAAATGTGTTTTAGTGATATCGGATGCACAAACAGGCTCGAGAAGCATATAATGGGACAATTAATACTCAACAACAAATGCTGGAACCGATCCTAGAAATCGAGATGATGAAACAAATAACCACTGCCATAAGTATAACATCAAAAAAGAAGAGCTTAAGAAGAGGACATGTATGTACTTAATGAATTCCTTGTATAAATTGTCTTACAGTGGTCACTAAGCTACCCTAATTCAAAACGACTTTGACCTCTAAGCGGACCAGACTACGGTCCTCTATTGCCTTCTCTTTTCACGGACTGCCTTACCTCGTATACCTTAGTGGGTAATTCTATATGATATCTCGTTTCGAGTTCACTGCTTGGTTAGTTAGTAACAGGCCTTGTTCAAAATTAAGGTTCACACAGCTAAAAATGAAATCTTTCAAAGGTTAAAATAGGTAAAGAAAAACATACTTATCTGCCAAGTTTTATGTCTACATCAGGTTTCTACAGCGGACAGCCATTTCTGTGGTTCTGTCTGGTTTGATTTGTATTGTACTGTGATAAATCCAACTACTGTGTGTGAGTTGTTCAAACCTAGTGAATTGTCTTGCCAACTTGGATGGATCTGTATACCATTAATCGGATGCACGATTTAAGCATGTATCTTCCAACTACCTACAGTGTTTAGTAGCTTACTTTGTTAGTTAATTGCAGCTTTTTATCGTAGATCGAAATTTTTGTCTATGTAGTGAATTTCATCTTGAAAATATAGTTGAGTAGCTGAATAATGAATTGCCTGCGAGAAATAGCATCACAGAACGCGTAATTTGTAAGCAGTTTGCAAATCAGTGATCTGTTTCAAGATATTTGATGTTTCCGGTCATACAGGGGATAATTAAAAGATCACTGGATCATTTGAAACGTATTTGAGATCAAATTAAAATGTTGGCTGAACATGAATCACAGATTTCGCTAAACTATCCTTACCTTTTTGAATGTTTGTAAAATATTGTTACAGATTCACAACGGCTTTTTTTTATACTGACTGTATTGTTCGCTCTTTTTTACTGCTTCATTTTCCTTTCATTTTGGGATCTCCTAATTGTCTACTCGCACAAACGTAGTATGTTTCCAAGTTGACATTTCCTTCTCTCTTGTTCTCGCGGATTGCTACTCGTATTATTTATCTGTGGTTTACATTGTGATAGATATTTAACGTCAGGAGCATTTATCACATTCTTTATTTTTTCGAAGTGGTCAGATGAAAATGGTCAGTTGCATCGAGAAGAATAGTGTTTCTCTTCGTAGTCTGAAATCTGCTCTAACCATACAAAGATTATGCACTGAGATGCATTAAGGTTGTCATTTGAAAAGGTTTTAAAATATGTTGTTCAAGGGAATAAATTATCTCCTCAATATCTCGTTATTTTTTGTTACTCAGTATTCCCCATGATGTCAGTGCCATTATTTTTTGTTTCACTATCCTATTAATTAGCATCGCTTTTTTTTCCATCTCCGTCATTTTTCCTTCCCTTCTGAGTTTTTTTGGTCGATTCATCTCCGTATCATACATTTCTGAATAGCTGTACGAATCATGGTTTATAAAAAATTTTCTTTCTGCATAACATGATTTTATCTACTTCAACCTGAATAACTTCCGTTTTCACACGATATTAGTGTGAGACATACAGGACTAGCGCAGCTTTGAAAATTCAGCAATTATTGCATTGCTTTCAGCTCTGTTGATTCCTTTGATTGCATTGTTCATCTATCATATCGTTTTCGTTGGTTTCACGATTTGGATTTTCTCCTTGATGTTCAAAATCTTGAAAATCATCAGGCTGCAGATGTGCATCCAATACTTCTCTGATTCTTAACCTCCTTCACTTCATTGGTTAAACATTTATTCATGAAATTTGAAGCACGTGTTACCATCATTCACTGTAATAGTAGATGATAATATTGATAATGATAATTATAATGACAATATAGTAGCAGTAATAATAATAATAGTAATGAAATACTAAAATATGCTTCTTACAGTCTTTTCAGCAGCCTATTCTTAACTACTCTTCAAATTTAGTATAGTTGGTTTATAAGGAGGTAAACAACTTAATCTACGATCCAAATCTTGTCATAAACGGAACCGGATGACTGAATGCTTCTGCATTCCGATTTGTGGTAGCTTTGCCACTAAATTTTCTTCATATATTCATCGTGCTATTAGTAAAATTTCATTCAAAGGGCTGAATTGTTGAACGTCGTATGACCCTCGAGATTCCTAACTTGATACTGCCTGTTGTGACGGTAGTAGCTATGATATGTTATTATCGTGGTTTCTAAGTTGTCGGTTATTCGTATTAGGTTTCAGTGAAAACATTGGCACAAACGTTATACAGGTTCCTCCAACTGATGGCTTCTTAATACAGCGAGTTACATGTTGTTAGTCTCAATACTAAGCACTCCTCAATGTACACTATCATTTTAGATTATCAGGATATTGAATCCAGTTAAGTATTTGTTGTTCCAATTACAATCCATTCTTGACTTTAGTTGTCGCGACAATTCCCGATCGCCTACTCAGTTAGATGAAGTATTAAACCAAACTGCTGACTCCAGCGCGAATTCATCGACTCCTCGTACAACCGTGTCAAATCCACCGTCTACCAATTGGTCTAATCCTACAGACTTGAAGCATTCAGCGTCCTATGGTAAAGTGAACGCTCGAGAATTAGTCAAGTTGTTAGTGCCATTGCTGAGATGTGAGCAACCTGAGATACGGGATTCAGCAATCGGTGGTCTTGGTCGGATAAATCCAGCTGCTTTTAGGTAATTTTCAAAAAATGTATCATTATGTGAAATGAATTTCATACTTTCATAATCTTAGAAACTATCGAGTTTTATCTTTTTTCAAACCTTTTAGTAGTTTTGTTGAAGTCAGTCTTCCTTTGGTTTATTGGTAATGTCCTTTTGGAGGACATGACGAGGCTTCAGGTGTTCGACCACCATTACCTTAGTAGCAAAGACCGTGCGTTGTGGTGCCACCATGTTTGTATTGCAGAAGTCCAGTGTAGATTCTAAGTAAGAGAGGTTTGTTGGTTAGTGAAGTTGTGAACCTTCATGAACTGAGGTGTTTGCAACATGTGTTGTTGATGTCTAGTCACCGTCCGCCACGTTGTGGATTGCCATGTGAAGTAGTTTAGGGTTGGGGAAGGTTAAGAGGTGATTAGAATAAAACATTGTGTCAGTCTATGCAGTTTCTGACTGCTGGTATGAAGTGGCGAAGTGGAAATACGCTCACCAACCACATACGCTTTCGTACAGTAGGCAATGTGCCATACCTATTTTAATGGGGTATATAATACCACCTGACTATCCAGACGTCAGTAGATGGAACGGGATTCCAGCGCGTGACTTATCGGCTGAAATTTAAATGCTTAGACCAATGAGCCAGAGATCTACGGTATGAAGTGTGCTGGAAGGTAGTTCGGACTTCCAGATTTCGGTCCACATGGCAATCGAAATTGGTGGTTAGAGACTGTAGGTGATATCGCTGAGAATCTATCACAATGGCTCAAATTCTTCCACACTATATATGTCTTTATCTCGAATGCCACGCTGTTTTTCATCCTTTCTTGTCTCCTCTTTGACTTTCCAACACTGTCAATTACTTTCTTCTTTATTTCTCTATCCTTCATCTATATGTCTTCTCTCCTGGTGTGATGATATTGTTATGTAGCTACTTGATAGGTTATTCAGGGGTCTCAGGTCCTTTGTTGATGTTGAATAACTTGTTGGAACATCTGATATGTTTCGAGAGTTGTTTTTTCATAACATCAGAGAAGTAGTTATTCCCTTTTGTCATTGGAAACATAAGAGTACTCAAGCACAGTAATAACGTCATCGAGTAATGTAAGGTACATACGAATTCGCCGACACTATAACTGCTAAAGCATCCAGAAGTATATTGATGAGTTCCATTTGAATGTCAACAAATTCTGCGTATGGCTAAATGTTTTGACAAAATAAGTGTGCATGTTGATACGCTTGGCTGTTTAATTTGCTAATTACTCATGTTCATGTCTGTTTCGTCTTTGAATTTGATAAATATATATTTGCTTTATTTATCGAGTTTTACTTCTTGTTTGTACCATTGTCCTTACTTTTCTATTCGGAGTAATCTTTATAGCCATTACGCACCGAATTAACCTGCATCTTGGTAACTTCAAATTTCAGTCTCATCTTGCCGTCACTTGTCTAATATTATTGATTAAAGTTGAAAACGTTGCTGTTTTTTATCATCATTATTACTAGCCAAATAACTTAATTTTCTTTTCAACGGAAAATATTTTAGAGATGTCCTTGAAGATTTGCAGCCACTGTTAAAAGAATCCTTTGATCGCAAACAAGAGAATCTACGCCGTCGGCGTCGACGCGATGGACTCAGATCAGCCTTAATTAAGATTCTATCTCTCATGGCTCAGTCAGGTGTATTTGCACACCAGTGAGTTAGTAACCGCCTATGCATACATAATTTCCTCATTTTCCACTTATTTATTTCGTTAACGGGGTCTGAGACAATAAAATGATTACATATTTAGGATAACCCTGTTTAGATGAATGATTTCGATAGAAATGGTTGCAAAAGTTCATCAAAGTACATCAATTTTTTATGTTGACCAAAACCGTGAGTTGTCTAACCTTTGGTAATATGGCATGAATTATTTGCAGAATTTCCGGAGAGCAGTCTGTAGAGTGTTCACTGGAGTTGTTTTCGGTTAAGCAAAGGATATGATTGTTCACTAACACAGTTACTCTTCTGAACTTTCGGATCTCAGTCTGTTGAGTCAGAGTTGACTGAAAAGTGTAATATTCACCTGCATTTCACAGTGATAATTTGATACTGAAGTTGTTTATTAAATTCTGCCACTCATGGAAAAAGATTGTTTCTTTATCTTGCATGAATTTAAGACTCAGTGGCACCCTTTCATCAGTCTGGTGCGTGATGCGAAAGTAAACTAAAGAGTATACAAGTATCTGCGCAGCATGTATATTCATGCTGTTACGTGCAGTTGTGAAAACAGTCACTCGCATCGTTAAGCTCAATAAGAGAAACAAAAGTTTCTGTTTTGATATTGGTGTTCTGTTTGACACGTTGATAACATTTGTGAGTAAATACAACAAGTACTAACTCGTCATCATCAAAATCAATATAGGACCAGACATTACCGCGTAACGGTCCAAAATATCACACCTCATATCAGCACATCAAGTAACAAGGTAATAAAATGGGAGATGGAGAAGGAAAGAAAAATCGGCCAATGAAATTTGAAGTAGAAAGTAGTAAAAGAGAGGAAGGAAGAGTGAAATTACGATGAAGACAATGTGTATGTATCTAGGCCACTGACATCGGTTCTGAACCATATGACCTAGGGTCTCCAACCACTAGTTTCTCTTGTCCCTTAGACTCCAACCGGCTAATCTGCATAACCCTACCCACGTTACTCACACCAAGCATTAACTAATTAAATGTATAGATTTCTCCTGCGATAAATCTCATAGTCCTGTAGACATTTTTCGATTTTAAATTTATGCAATGAAACAGTATTATTTGCGTTTCGGGCAGAAATTGAATATTCCATATTCATGTCATATTTTATATAATTCTGATTCTCTATCCATCTTGGTGATATATAGGCAGTAGAATTTTCCATATATCTGGAATAAGTGTGCCTGTATATTCAGCCAGTGTGTTTTTGTAGCGATGAAATTGTGTCATGTCCTTTACTTATAGATAATTCGTATCATATTATTACTGGTCTTTGAGACCATCATCCGTCTTATAAATAAATCAGTTACGCTACTCAACTACACCGATGTCGTTAAATGTTATACAAATGCGAATAGCTGTTTCAAAAAGTAATTGTCATATCAATATGCGCCGAAAATAGTTTAACTACAACTTATTTTGTAAATTATGAGAACTAATGATAGAAGAGGCTGAAATTAGTTTAGTGTAGAATATTTGCTGTCATGTAAAGATGCCGTTATAAAGAAGAGATAATTCAGCGAAGAAAATTTTCCTTTTCGACGATATCATTTTCTAAACCTGTACAATCGCATTTATGTATATCATAAACATATAACAGTCTATTATAAAACATTAGGGTATAATTACATCATTAACCTACTGCTAAAAAACCGGAATCAAGAATGCAATCTCTCATCTTACCATGGTCCATTTCATCATAATTAATTAGTTTATTATTATCACCTTCATTATGACCCTTGTCTCATTCTTCACCTTCTTTACACCTATCTATCAAGTGGACAGTCAATATTTGCGTTTCTTATCTACCAACAATTTTCACCTGCTCAAACTCCTTGCGTTTCTCGATATTTCTACTGTTTTATTTTATGATACAACTACTTTGCATTGTTGATTCCGGTATTTTTAGCACTAGGTTAATGACGTAATTATACTCTATTGTTTTATAATAGACTGTTACATGTTTATGATATATATAAATACGATTGTACCGCTTTAGAAAATGATATCGTCGAAAAAGAAAATTTTCTTCTCTGAATTATCTCTTCTCTATGACTCAGTGGGCATGTTTCGTAGTCATGCCGTTATAAATAGTTTGATACTTTGTGTAGCAATGAGATTTGTCGATCAGGCAAAGTTAATTTTGTTGCTATGTTTTACTTTTAGTGAGTCAAACGTCGTCACACCTCAAGGGTCCTTAATACCCCAACTTCTGGATTATGTGGATGGGATGAGAAGCTACTTAGAATCAGTTTCGGATCAGTTGTCAAGTCCCCTTACTCATGCACACACATCTTCAGCATCTTTAAATATCTTAGCTTCTATACCCTCTGCTACTTCGTCCAGCAAGTTGGTACTAGTGGAACGAATCCAAATAATCAGATGTCTGGCCCTACTAGTAGCGGTTCAGTGGTTAATTCTTTGCCTACTCCTACATCAACCGGACCTTCCTTACCTATTCACTCATCCGAGTCGTACCTATTAAATGAAATCCGTCTTCACTTTTGTATTTTCATTAAGGAACTCATTCGACATCTTCCTAGTAAGAAGTTTTTATTCAATATTATATCCCAGTGATTAACTAATAATCTAGTTGTTTTAGTGTGAATTTTTTGAAATAATTAGTTCAGTTTTGTTCTTTTGTTCAGTGAATACTGGAATTTTACTGTTGTAAATTATAATTGTTCTGTAAACAGTATATGTCTTTCTAATTTTACCATGAAATTATTCCTGGCATGAGATCTCAGGCACCTAGCAAAGTAGTGATTTAACATCTGTATGATAAAAATACTGAAGTGAGTCACTTGTGGTGTCAACTCTATATTCATTTCAATATCAACGATTAGATATACCACATAAGATGATATTACTTCCGGAATACCTTCATGGAACGTGAAAACTGAAGCTGAACGTTTCCATGGAACCAGATAATCAAAATGATCAGTTTCTTTTTCTCATCACACGGAAACATCTTGACTGTAAATTTTGGTTTTCATGCATCGGAATAAATTCTTTTTTTAGGATTTGCAACTTTCATCAACTGAGGTAGTTGTAGATTGTTTCTCCATGACTAACGATCATCTGTTTGGTGATATTTACGCGTATAAATAAAAGATTATCACGAAAACATATTTCATCAGTACGCAGAAACTGAATACTGATCTTCATTAGGATAGAGTAATTTTTAAGATGTCATTAATCAGACAGGCAGACAGACAAATTCAACATAGAACCTGACACACAGGTGCATAGGCCGAAGTTGCCACACTTCACGGTAGTATACAAAGAACATATGGATAGAAAAAGAGCGATATCAAACTGAACAAAGTTGTGTGAGAGAATACTCAAGCTCTAGCAGACGTCAGTGAATGAATACAACTTCACCACTGATACTAATTTTTAGCCATACTACTAAGAGTCATCAAACACTAATTCCTTTCTTCTCAGCTATCTTGGCCGGACACTCTACATCTCCCCCACACGACTCAGATCAACAGGTAGAGATGACTGAATATGTTAACCGTGCGTACTTGACGGCACCAGTCGATGAAGTGTCTTACTGTTGATCTCAATCGTGTGTGGAGATGTAGAGTGTCTGGCTAAGGTGGTCGAGATGAAAGAAAACAGTGTTGTAGGATTCTTAGGGACATGCCTTAAAATCGACCGCAATGGTGCGGATGTATTCACTCCTTGGAATCATCTAAAGCTTAACCTTTATCATCAGACGCTAGTGATCAGATAACGGAGTTAGAAAGGCATAACAAGGAATGAGTTGTGTACAGATCATATTCAAAATGCGCAACTTAGATGTGATGGTATCAAATATTTCAGCATCTTTTAAACAAACTGTTTTAAATTGTCCTCCTGTGAAATATTTAAGCATTTCTTAGACAATGATGTTGATTTAACCGCTATCACATCACTCTAGTCACTTCACGACAAGTTGTATGTATTTGTGATACCATTGTTATTTAGATTACAAATAGACATACAGACACACCAATGCACACAAATATGAATATCTGACGTCTAACAACCAAGTTATTCAACTTTATCTTGTAAAAGTCCATCGCAAGTGAATCTTTGAGTATCTTAATGCACTGAAAACATCCGGTTATTGAAGGTAAGTTTATGCCACTGTTCTCGGTTGAGGCTTTCAAAATAGTTATCTAATTCCAGTGGTATTAAGATATATTCGATTTTATAGTCCAGTGCTATCATTCAAATGAATTTAACTAAAATAGTTGTACTCATGAACAGATACATCTTTCTGAGTAGATAGTGATATGTGTACTAAGTCTTTAGATACCCATTTTCCATTTTCTTTAAAGGTTCATTTCTGTTTTATGGTCACCAACTGAGGATTTCTATCGAAGTTTAGATACATCACAAGTTAAATGCACTGAGCGACTAAAAAACAAATAAGAGTAGATTATTTTAATGTCATATTATAATTTGTCTCTTGGGTTCCTAGTGGAACACTGGTCTTCAGTAACACGCCTCCTTTGCACTATCTTCTCTGTAGTCTTTTGAACCTCGCTCCATCACTGCCCACAAGCTTTCACTTCTTCCTCACACCATCTCCTCCATGTCACCTTCACCTCGGACACCCAACTCGTCGTTTCCTATTCGCCTTCCACTCAAGGGCTCGGCCTGCCGGGTGATGTCCCCAATCGGTCTTCTCAGTGTATGCTCAATACAATCCATCTCCACTTTCTTCTGCATATTAGTTGGGCGATGGCTTCTTGGTTGGTTCGTTGCCAGCCAGCCAGCCAGCCAGAGTTGCTTGTTGCTTATTCTTAGTATTCTGGCCATCTGATCTCCATATTCAGTGTCGAGTGAGCGTAGACGGTGGGTGTTGATGAATGTTTGTAGTTTGTTGGAAATGCTTTTCGTGATGCGTCAAGTCTCTGAACCATATAGCAGCACTGACTTGACTGACATTGGTGTTGAAAATCCGGATCTCATTCCGGCTTTGTGCTGAGTGGAGTGGAGTGGAGTGGAGTGCAGTAGATCTGTACACTGATTTCAGATTGATGAAAGCCTGTCTTGCTGTCTTTCCAATCCTGGTTTCGATACCCTCGTCTGTGCCGACGCCACCTGTAGTTGAAACGATGCTGCCTAGGATGGTAGGTGAAAGAGACTACTCCCTTTAGGTTTCTCCCGTTGATGGTGATTGGTACCTCTTGTTTTTGATGATGTTGTTGGTTGGGCACCTTCATCACCTCTGTCTTCTCTACATCCACCTGAAGGAAGTCCCGTCTTCGCTGACCCACCTCTCCTCTCAACTTGTTGCTTTTTGCCTGTAGATCTTCGAGTTTGTGAGACAAGACATTAGACATGAATCATCGTCGGCGGAATCCAAATCTCCCTCTGGAGTCTTTACATCAGTCCAGCCAGCGTATGTCCCTCTACTCGCTCCTCACAGTTTGTTGCATCATCATGATCATGATGCAGTCGACCACAATCAGGAAGATGATCCGTGATAGTAGACACTCTTGTCTTGTCTTGTCTTACTCCTGTCTTCACTTCAGAGGCTTCGCTGAGCTTTCCATTGTGAATCACTTGGCATGTAGCATTGAATAGTATATAGCTGCTGTTGAATGAGATTGATAAAGGTTTATGGCACTAAAATCGTAGTGTAGAAGCAGCTGCCTGACAAATTACTTCTCGTTCGATGCTGTCGAAGGCCTTTACAAAGTCGATGAAGTTGGGGTTGAGTTGAGTTGAGTTGACTGTTATTCTATACTCTGTTCTATGATGATGCGTAGTGCAGGGTAACGTTATTGTTTGGTCCGCACATGATTTTTTCTTCCTGGCGTCAGCCAGTCAGCCAACCAACCTGTTCCGGTCGTAATTTTGAATGCAGAGCACTTTTCAGTCCCTCCAAGATGATGCGGCTCAATATTTTGCTTGGGGTGTAGCATGATTCCTCGCCAGTTCTTGCAGAGACTCAGGTTGGCCATTCTATGGGAGGTTGACTAGGTAGCCCTTCTTCCAATCAATCTGTAGGTACCTTCCCTTCCTTCCTTCCTTCCTTCCTTGCAAACCTTCTGCAGTACTAGTGTGAGCATGTCTGCTGTTGTCTCGGCATCTGTTTTCAGTGGTTCTGGCGGAATTCCATATGGTCCTGCTACTTCCTTCGATTTCAACAACTTCATGGCGTTCAGGACTTCGGCTTTGTTGGAGGGCCTGTGTCCACTGGTAGTTCTGCCGTTGCTGGAGATATTTCTGGACGAGTTACCGGTGGTGGTGGTCGGTTCAAGAGTTTTTTGAAGTGGTCAGCTTATCGTTTCCTTTGTTTCTCCTCTTTGGTGGTAATTAGGTTTTCTTCACTATCTTTCATTGGTTTCGTCTGTGTTGACCTCTCTTCTCCCTGATAGTAACCTGGTTGTTTGATATAATGATGTTATTTTAATGTGTACTTCATTAACTCCTGTTTAGTTGTCCATGAAATACTACTCATTAAAGAGTGAATGTTTCTGTCCCGTCTTGTCTTTTTTCGAATGTTGTTGTTTCACTAACTGTTGTTATCACATAATACCCTGGTTTTGCTTAAACTTGTATTTCTCTTTTGTCATTTTCACTTCTAGTTCTATTTTTTCTTTCCTGACTGATTATTGTATAGAGCGAAATCGCACAAACTTGTTACCGCCTACATTGAAGCATCAGCTATTCATTTTACTATCGCATTGGAGTGCTCATTACGACCATGTTATGGGGACTTAGTAAGTTATGTTTATTTTGTTCTACGTTCACCAATTCCATACCTAATCAATATGAAGTACAGTTTTTATACTTGGATATAATTTCGTTTAATTTACTAAATTTCATTCAGGATTTTCATTTTTAACAGCTGTTTCAGTGTATAAAGAATTGACATATATGTGTTGATCAGTAAACATCCTTTTAGTGTTTGCCTGATAAGCTGTCAGTTCTGATTTTGAGCAGAGAGTTGTAATAAAAGAAATACTGCTTTTCTGCTCAATTGCTGAAGTGATTTTATTGTGCACAGCGGAACTCATTTAGTCATGTATTTATCATATTAGGTAGGTCAATATTTAGTATTTGGAGGAGAACAACGTAAAACTTTGCACCTCTTTGCTAAGCCCTTCATAAAGAGGTTTTCCATCATCCATCTACGTTTTGAACACTTTCTGTTCATTATCACAATTAAGGTCGAACCATTCAGTCTGTGATTTACGTGTTCTCGACTTAAAATATGGTTATATTTGCTGATAAGATTTCACCTTGAGATAATAAATAATATCGAATCATTTTCTGTTTCATGAATTGTGTGTTTAGTATCAGCAAAGTTGATCAAACTAAAAATCGGATGCAACGCGTTGTGGTTTCTGCTATTTTCTAGAAGTTATGATAATATGACAGTTACGTATTTCTACTTCATTCCTAGACTCTTGCTTTTGCATCGTTTCTGTTCAGTGATAACATTATTTAAACACGATTAACCAGTGTTTTTTTTGCAAAATCTTGGTTCCTATGCTTCTCCAATGGTCAACGTGATTTTCCCTTTTGAAAAGCAGGTATATTTTCACCATGTTTATGGCGTTTGCATGATTTCCCGGTGTAAACGTTAACTTGTCTTTCTTACTTTTTTCCGTCTGCTGTGTTAATTGTTTCCGAATTAACCACCTCGGTACGATGAAAGTGTAACTACAGGAAATTAATATTTTGACTGCCTACTAGAATCTTTTAGCATTGTCGGTGTTTTAAATTTCAGTAAGGCGGGAGAATCCATCAAAATTATTTATACCTACGTTATAATTAAATTAAGGTGTGACGTTTTTCTAGCCATTCATAAAATGTCTGAATCTTTTCCAGCTTTGAATCTGAAGGTCCCACGTCTACACAATTTCGCCTTGCTGGTTCAGCTGTCGGCTTCAATGATCATTCCTCTAGTTCGAATTTCGCTGTTGGTTTGTCTCCATCAAGTGAAATATCTCCGGGATTTGTCGGACCTCATCATCAATCATCAAGTGACAATTTCCCACCATCTACTAATGGTCTAGGCCTTAACAGTGTCGCACTATCGGGATCTGTGGAGTCTAGTGCTAATTTAACCGTCCTTCCAAGCCAAAACTCTCACAGCCCTACATTTCAACAGAAAGTATCTAGTGGTGAACAAACTGAAGGATCTGAATCTTTAGAATATTGTTTATGGATCGATTTAATTTGGTTGTCTAACCAAGCTATGGCAGCTTTAGTGTGTTGTGGCCCGATATACGACCGTTCTGGCTTGTTACCAAATGATAATTCGAAAACTAACCAGGTAATATCGGGTGCAGGGTTTGACTCATCATCAAGTTCTTCATATGTGGAACGTTCAAATGGTACTTCGTGCCTAAGTATTTGCACTCCAAGCTCTGGTTATGTACTTCGCTGGATTTCTGGGCTTCTTGTTGCACGTGATACTGCTCTTAGTTCAAGTCCCTGGTTATGGTTCTGCCCTGTTACAGGACGTGGCCTTTTACACAATACTTTAAATCCTGGAGGTGCTTCGTTGTGTGGTAACAGTCATACACGCTCTCGCATAATAGCAGCTGGCGGTGGTCGTCGACTAGATTCTGTAAGTTCCAGTTTGACATCCTGACGTCCTGTAACTATCCATTTCACATTTTATTTATTGCACCAATAATAAAAGATAGACCCGTACATATGCACAGACTTATATGAAAGGGATTAGATACTACTATATGAGTTACTTAGTTCACTTTACTTGGGCAAGCGTTGAGAATATATGGATTATTTACCACAAGAGCACATACGTTGTGGTTTGATATGTTCAACAGTCAGAATAACAATCTTTCACTCGACAAACTAAGCTATCAAATTCTTCTATGTGTGTTAATTTCACTTTTTCCTTGCTTTTGTGTGGTTGATTCACAATGCATGTATTCTCTGTTTAGTGAGGTGTTCTCATCCATTCTGAGTCAACCATAGTTTAGTTAAGCGAGCGACTAAATAATGAGTAATTCGATTTCACTTGTAAAATACACCTGGAACATGACGTCTTAAGACGATAGAAATAACCCCCTGAACAAGTTTATCATATTTCTGTTCCTTTGCTCCATTTCAGCTACTTCGTCAACTCGGGGAAGAAACTTTGGTTCTTCTCTTAGATTTTAATCCAGATAACGCAGGTCTTTTCAACTGGGTGATCGATCAGTGTTACACTGCGTCAAACATTTCGTTATCTACAGCCTGTTTTGAATGCATTTGCCTTATAATGAGTAATATGTAAGTGAAATCTTATTTGCTAAATATTTTTTGGATATCGTACGTAATTAAAATTAACGTAATGTTGTGTGTGATATGTTGTATAGAAGTTTACAAATACTACATACTCTTCCATAAAGCTCAAGATGAATGAGGGTTTTTTTAATTCGCTGTGAAGTGTTATGTATTGTCCAAATGTCAAATGTCTATTGGGTTGTATCTCACGGTATGACGAATTTTTGAATGGACTAATAGTTTCCGTACGTAACTAACTGTTCAGATATTTTTAGTTCATTAATTTAAGTATCTTATCACAACAAAAATTAATTGAAGTTACGTTTAACGCTAAAGTAAAATATTGAGCATTCAGTTTCAGTGCTTAGTATATGAGTCAGTCAGTGGCAAGAAACGCTAAACCCAAGTTTCGTGCTTGTTGGGACTCAATATAAATCATAGGGTTATGGAAGTATTGTGGTGTATTTCGACCTACATTCGTTTACAATTACTACTTCCTTGCATATTCTCCACTTGTGATCATATGAATTAGTCGGTTTAATGATTGAACAACATGATTTCGTACCATTATACTTCTTTTTTTGTCACAGAAATTGTAACTATACGGTTACTAATTTAAACTTTTGAAACATTGAGAAAAGGCATTTATAGTTCCTGTGTTTGTGTAGAATTCGACATTCTCCTTTCTCTTGAACATTGTATGTACGGAAGCCAGCTTGAACCTAATCAGTAATCATGGCAGCAACTATCTTTTGCATTAAATAATCAAAATATGGATTAAAAATTGTTCAGAAGTAAATTGTACACTCTGATGGGGCTCAGAAAAGTGATTTCATTCAAGTTAGAGCTCGTCTCATTAAAAATACAGATATGTGTACTCTCAGTTAGGTTTGCCAGTAGTCCTGTTTTCTGGTATCCATTTATAATGTATTTAAGGACAGTCACTATTCAAATTCAGTCAGTCGATGAGTAGCAAAGTCAGTGGATTTCGATTGGTCCATACCAGTCTAATTTTTGTTTGAATAGACATCAACTCAATATCTCCACCGAGATAGCACCATATAAAACAAACAGATACATGCTTAATTAAGAATAAATTTTATGGTTTACATCCAATTAAGTGGGCTAGTGTCTAATGGTTTAAATAAGCAGGAACAGATAAGACAGAGTAGTTATTTACCTATCCAAAACCAGTGTATTAAAATAGTCATGTACTATATTGTGCTTTTTTTAATAGTGATAAAATGGCGATGCTAGCTAGTAACGAGTGCTTTAAACTATGTGTGTGTTCAATATGTTCGTTGAAACTGAGTTTCTGTTTCTGTAACCCAAATATTCATTTAGAAAGTCAGGAAGTTTTTTTCCAGTGAACTCGCTGAAACAGATTCCACTTGTGCATGAGTCTGAGTCCAGTTAGTTTTTCAAAGATTTTCAGTGGTTCACGGAGATGACTACCTATCATTGGGTTGCAGGATCGAGCAACGTTTCACCTACCGAAATTTAGGCAGCCAGGTACTATAACTAACCCTTATACAAATGTGTGGCTCATTTCCCACTGTACGAATGTGCATTTCGATCGTTTCTTTTTATTTCGAAACATTTCGTCGGTACATAGGTAACCCTTGATGATGACAAGATAGACTATAGCTATCGCTGCTTTTCTTGAAGTTTCATACTCACTGTTTGAGATACTGCTATTATTGTGGATCAAATAGCTCTTGTTTCCATTTTTTATTGACAGTTTTCGAACCTACGAGTTATGTCGTTTAGATATGGAAAATTTCCGATTTATGATTCAACATATACACATAATCCTATTTATTGTTTCCTTCCCTCACACATACGAAAATTTGATTATGGACGGTATGACACTATGATATAAAAACAATTATATACGCATTATGACAGCCTATAATACACTGCTAGGCGTTCCGATTACACCATAATAAACACTTATGTGTAATTGAACAAAATTTCAGTATTGTTGAATAAATCTACCCTATCTACTAGCTTCACTATCAGTCTTCCAACTCAAATCTGAATGGGACAAGAAAAGTATTATATATGTTAGTTTGTCAACCTTCATCTATCTTGGTTGAAAATTGTGTTAACGTTCTAGTTCATTATATATAACGTTTTACATTTTATCATTCGTTATTCTTTGAGTTCTATTTCGTTTACTTATTTCTTTTTTAAATAGACCTGATTTCGCTTGTGACCATATTGGTTTGATCACATTATGTCTCGTTTTTGTTGGTCATCCCTCAAGATTTTTGAGTGACAGAGCCTTCTACTTACTACGAGTTCTTTACCAGCGTTTCTTCATTGAAGTATGTTTCTACTTGTTTGATTTTATCAACTAATTTATCCATTTTGACTGTATTTCTAATGAACGTTATATTATGCAGTAGTCCACTGGTTGTATGATTACATTTTTGTAGGACATCCTAGGGTACATGTTTTCAATAATTCCGTTATTTGCACAGTACTATACAAGTACTTCATAACTACCTGATTACGCAGGAGTAGACGTCTACTCCTCATTTCATTTCACTGTGGAGAAGATAGGTGGATGATTCATGCTTCTACTTAGTGTTACTGAGTTGTTGATTTTTTAGACTATAATCGCTATCAATATGTCATATTGTGAAATCTTAGACACAGAAATTTCGTATGATTACCGGCTAATTGTACTGATGATATCACAAGTTATACTTATAGGGGTGAAAATCGAAATGCACTCAGCAGCCTTGTACACATTCATACAGTAGGCAATGAACCACACCTATTATGTGAAGACTAGTGATACTAACTGGTTGCCTAAACCTCTGTAGGTAGAGTGGGACTCGAACCCTTGACCGATTGGTTGAAAGTCAATCCCTTGAACCAATGAGATACACCTCTACTTATTGGGGGAGAGATGTGTCAATAACACGCTTGGAATGGTTGGTGAATTAGTGGAGTTCGTTTAGACAAGAGAATAGCATAAATCCGCAGTAGCAAAAAAATAAATGTGCCTAACACAGTAGGCTTCGGCAACTGTTTCAACACTACGCTTTTAGTGCCACAAACCTTTATCAACCTCATTCAACAGCAGCTATATGCTATACAATGCTACATGCCAAGTGATTCACAATGGAAAGCTCAGCGAAGCCTCTGAAGTGAAGACAGGAGTAAGACAAGACAAGACAAGAGTGTCTACTATCACGGATCATCTTCCTGATTGTGGTCGACTGCATCATGATCATGATGATGCAACAAACTGTGAGGAGCGAGTAGAGGGACATACGCTGGCTGGACTGATGTAAAGACTCCAGAGGGAGATTTGGATTCCGCCGACGATGATTCATGTCTAATGTCTTGTCTCACAAACTCGAAGATCTACAGGCAAAAAGCAACAAGTTGAGAGGAGAGGTGGGTCAGCGAAGACGGGACTTCCTTCAGGTGGATGTAGAGAAGACAGAGGTGATGAAGATGCCTAACAACAGCAACAATCACGTATCACCATCAACGGGAGAAATCTGAGGCAAGCTGTCTCAGTGTTGTGGGGGACTGAAAAGAGATTATTACCTTGCATTGATTTTGTTTACTGAATCATTGCTTTGATAGCGAAATGTTGGTTATTATTATATTTTATTTTTTACACGTGAATTTCCTGTTTTCTGCATATCTTTTCTGTGCTCATTTACTAGTGAATTATTCTATTTTTCATGACAGCCTGGTGAAACTTTATTCATGCGAATGCATGGGGATTCTGGGGATTCTGAGAAGACGTGTTTGGGCAGCGAGATGCCTCTTTCTCAGTCTTCCGCAACTACATGTAATCGATTAGACTGTGATTGTTCTCACTTGTGTACATATTTACGAGCGAATAAATTATTTTATCGTTCTTTTCACCATTGGTCTCCATGTGAAGTCGTTAGACAATTTGCTGCTCAGCATCCAGATTATACACTCACTATTTTTTCGGGTAAGTGTTTTTTTAACTTACTTTTATCATGCAGATTTTTACTATTCAGTTTTACAATGTTAACTACTGAGCATATACCGGTTTTCCCTAATGTAAATCTGTAAGTACTAAATGCACTATTATCATGCACGCAAACCTGGTTCAGCATGAACACCAATAGAGTTCTCTGTACAGCGCAATCTAGAAACACTAAAATGAAATATGCAGAAGTTGTCCAGAAAAAGCGTAAATAGATAATCTTCCCATCTAAATGTATCCAATGTTCTGGTGTTACTCTTCATAAATATAAAACAAAACTTGTGAATGGTCACTGTTTGTTTCCTTCATTAGTCACAGAGTAGCATGGTATCTTGGATCTCTCTCAGGGAGTCTTGAAGTACCAACGTAAACTAAGTAAATATATTTCTTACTACCACTTCATATAATCACTGCCTATTCCTACCAGCCCTACAGGTGACAGGCTGTGAACGGTATGCATGTCATTAGGTTGATATCCCTGAAACACATTCGGTTCACCGAAGTCAGTTTTTTGGGGTTGACTCCACCAGTGTTCATCAAAGCTGAGTTACACTGTGTCGTATATCATAATTGGGTGCATGCTGTTACTACTACCACATGCAAGCAATCATCTAGAGACGATGGTGATTGAACGTGCAGATGTTTGCGATTTCTTTAGCCAGAAGAAGCTGGTTTTCACAGACGTAAAGCAGCACTGCTTGCCTTGTACGTCCGAGCTTCCACGTCATGACTGTATCGAGCGTTATTGTTCTGTATTCCCTCGCCAACTATTATATTTTCGCAAGACAACGGTTATCTATTCCGAACGGATATTATACGCAGGTTAAGCTGACAGCTAACTTAGTCCGCAAGAGGCACTGACTACAACCCCGAGGACGAATAGAGAGAAGACCGAAGCTGGATGATGGGAGAGTTTATAACTCCGAGACTATAATAATCAATCAATCCAAAAACGTGAATATGTATACACATGACATATGACCTTGTCCGCAATTGGAGACATTGGCATAGTAAAAGGTTAACCAATCACCGATTTACATTACAATGGGGGCAGAAAATAGACTACTAGTCATACCGTAAAAATGGTGTGTGTCAAGTCAAAAATGTTCAGATCGATAACAATGTTTTATACAAGACTGGTGCCTTACAACAGTTATCTAGATTGAAGTTTTTCCGTTGTGGCTTTCGGTACACGATTAGAAACCTGACCAGTCACATTTCAACCAGCACTAACACTTACCCAGACTTACAGTCGTTTTTCCAACTGATAGTTTACTTACAGTAGCGAGTGTAAGTACTGGCTCCTCATGGAAACAGTACATTACGATAGTACAAAAGCATATACCTTACTTACCCACAGTAATAGCCAACAGATTGAGTACGATTTCAGTATCCTTTATCGCACAGAAATTGAATTTATCCGCATGCTCAAGGTTAAAAAGCTTTTGACTTGGTGACAGATCTACACCATTATGTATGTCATTCAGAGCTCTCTTCAGAATGTCATCGAGCGTAAAATTAAGGAGGAATAGTGATATCGAGTAGCCGTGCTTAACCTCATTTTTAGTTCGAAACAATGAATAAAGATGGTTTTATCCCCTAATCTATATAAGTTGCTCTTTACACTCTGATAATATTGTGGTGATGAAATTCTCAGAAAGACACCTCTCTGGGAGACCACAGTGCTTAGTTCTGTTCAACGATTCGAAGCTGCCTCTTATATTTAAAAGCAACGATTGCTCATCTGCAATATATATTATGATGCCCAAGTATACGATGGGTCCATCCATTGTTTATTTGATAAGGAAGACAGGGATAATCTGTTCAGTATCTAGTACTGTAACATAGGGTACAAAACGCAATGTTGCTGAAATAGTAGAGCAGCTAATTTGCTTTTCTATATACGTCACTCAGATTTGCAAGCATCTTTGAACATATTTGACAGACATGCTATCTGCCTCATTAACTGTTTCGTTGACTCTGGACCTGTGACTGCCGATTCATAGCATGAGCTGGAACAACATCTCACCACCGTTAGATGCAGTTTTAACTTCTTTGTCACTCGAACTTTCCAACCGGTAAAATTTACAGACCTTATGTAGGTGCTGGGTGATCTGTCACATAAAAAAACTTACATATACTACTGTATTCTCTATCAGCTAGAATAAACCAATGAGAGTCAGGAATTTTCAAGAAGTTCTCATAGACTAAATGTTCATTGATAAGACGTTCTCCAAAGAAGCAAGAAGCTATCCTTGCCTTTCTGTGCTATCTTGTAGGTTTGCAACCAACGCTGAGAGTATAAACTCTTCTCCTTATTTGAACCTAGGTGCTTCAGCTTCTCATCCAAGTCCCCAGCTAGCACCACAATATCTTTTGAGTGCACCTGATAAACATGGCCATTCACTTGATGGCAAAGTGTATCCTATTCTGCATTCAGGCTCAGTCAGTTGGAGCTTAGGTAGAGATGGTGAAGAGATTGTTCTTATACCAGTTACTTCTTACTGTAATTGAACCTTTCCGCCTAACAGCATACAGATGCTTTTGTAATGACAACCCAGGCGACTAGTACAGCGTTAACCTCAGTACTCAATGCGATACTGACACTGGCAAAATAGGTTGTCGAGTAAGAGAACGGAAAACACTTCATGGAGTGGCAGATAAAAGAGTTCTGTATGGTTATTCACTTAGATTTCACGATAAGTCTGTCTTCTGCCAAATCTGTATAAATGTTTGAACGTTGAAGGAGGTCACACAGATCAGTATGTATACTTTCAGTTGAGTTAGATATCGCATTTAGAGTTAACATCTTGGAAGGAACTGTCAATCCGTTCGAAGCGGTATTTTTAGGTCAGAGTATTAGTCATTGGTGAGTGGTTGGGTCAGATGGAAATATAAGTAAAAATGACCAAAAAAAGCAGAACAAAATAGTCTCAATAAAGATACAGTGCTAAAAATGTGGTGAAATGTCATGAATAATTAAGTTTGCACTTTTAGACATTAGTCAATAGCGAGAAAGGCATGCGTTTTGAGTTCTTATTGTAGCATTATAACACTTGATTGTTTGGACACTAACATCTTTAGATTGTCAAACTATAGCTAGTGGTTGTCTTAAGCAGCCAGTCCTATAACTTTTAATCTCTCTATTTTGATTTACAAGGTAACTCAGCGACGTCAGTTGCTGTATTGTCGTTTCTGATGACCAAAGTTTACCCTTACTCTCTTCATTCCTTATGGATTCTAGAGTCATTGTGCACTTCCAGTTTGTTATGGTTTTGAAACTTCTTGAAGTGAACCCTCTATATCCAGCGATCCAGAGATAAGTGCAGGACATTCACTTTCTCCCTGTCTATCCTATCAAAACACACCTCACCATATTACCGTAGTAGATAAGAATTTCTATGAATACGTAGTTGTATAAGAAAATTTCTATAGATAAATGACTCGCGAGGAGTAGATTGGTTTCGTTCACGTCGTGGATGCATTCACCATATATTTACCCTCTAGCAGATGCTTGAACATCTCCAGACGTATTTCATGCCAACAATCGTACTTCTTGACATTAAGGCTGCCTTCATTCGTTGGACAGCGCTGTACTCTGGAATTGTGTGTTAGAGACGGGCGTGCCTGAGAAATTGAATAACACCCTAAGAGCCTTATATAAAAACAGCTCAATTAGAGTGAGTGTATACAACCACTTGTCTCCATTGTTCCGAACCAGCCATGGGGTTAGGCAGGGTTTCTCGGTTTCTCCATTCCTCTTTAACTTTGCTATCGATAACATTCTCAAGACAGCTATGGAGGTGTGTGATGGTCATGTAGATGTACTAACCAGAGAACGGCTTTTCGACCTTAAATATGCAGACGATATCGTCCTACTGTACGATAAAATACAGGCTACTCGAATCAATTGGCGATTTGTGTCCGTAGGTTTTGTATGTGATTTGCACTATCGAAGTACAAAGTACTTTTGCAATGTTGGGACGAGCCTGTGTTGGCAATCAGCCTTGTTGGTGAGTTGTTGGAGGTAGCCGAAAAGTTTGTGTATCTAGGTAGTTAGTTGTATGAGTGCTGATGGAGGTGTGAGTAATGAATTTTTCGATGTGGTCAGTGAGCTATTGGATCCCTTTGGTCTCATATAAGCATTTTGAAGGCTATTAAACCCTGCATTTAAGTATCTTTCATTTTTAAGTTGTTTACGATGATGAAAGAAAACATTATTTATTCACTGTAGTGGAAATTTATGCTCATGTCAGTGCAACTTTGTATCAGCACTACTGAAGTACACACTGATTTTCTATTAGTCATCAATGTATACTATTGATCCTTTATATATATATATATATATATATATATATATATATATATATATATATATATATATATATATATATATATATATATATATATATTATTCTTCAGTTTGAAATAGTTGTCTTATTACATTTTAGAGGTTTCTAGACGTCTTGAAAATGCTCGAGAGGGTTTGCGCGTTCCACTATTACGTTTACTTTCACCTTGGCTTATCAATATAGAACTGATTGATCTAATTGAAGGTACTACATTTGATACAACAGAACATAATTTAGATATGGACGATGATTTTTCTGACAATGAACCATCTCCTAATTCTTACGAAAAACCTGATAATGTTTCAGATTTTACTGAAATTCCCACATGCAAAGCAAATAATGCTGGTTTACTTCTGGGTTCAGAGCAGCAACAACGTAACAATTCCAGAAAGGATAATACAGAATATCGTATTCGTTTATCCAAGAAGTATAAACGTTCGAAAAGTCTATTGAATGCCGAGTCAGTACGTGATGATATTGATGAGACGGATGCAGATTCGGATAATGTAATTCATCATCGGAATTTCAAATCACTTTCATTATTGAGAATGCGTGCACGACAAGCTCAGATGAATGAACATGCAGGCATGTATAGTTTTCGTTCTTTCCGTCCTTCGAATGCTTCTTATGTTCATTGCCGAAATGGATGTAAATCGACGGGTTCAATGAATAATACTGCACTATGGTCAACTGTGCCTCCTACACTTCGGTCTAGAGGATGGGGTTCAAAACAAGTCAGTTGTGTATATGTTCGTACATTTTGACTGAAATGTTACGTATTTATCGTTATTATAATTATTACTGTTATTATTAACCACTACTACTAACGCTGCTGTCACTGTTATACTACCGTTAATAATAATAATAATAATAATAATAATAATAATAATAATAATAATAATAATAATAATAATAATAAGAAGAAGAAGAAGAAGAAGAAGAAGAAGAAGGACGAAAAGAATTAATTGTGACCTGTTGAACAGTGTACGGCGTCAGATGTGATTTCTAGATTGTTTTCAGGCATAAATTTGTAACTTGTTGTGCTTGTGTAAAATGGAATCTATCACTCACTTTTCTAGTTATTTATTCTTATATTTTTAGTGGTTGACTCTTTCTTTTCCAACCTGAATGTATACAAAAATGTATTCGGTGTTAATAGTAATTCTTCAACTGAAAGTAATTAGTAATTCTGACTAGGCAGATCATAGTAGGTTCAGAGGTTTACTTCTTATATTAGAAAGCATTCCTTTCTCTTAGTAGATTTCATCGAACTAAAGATGATAAAAGACTAAATTCATACTTTAGGGCTTGTTTATATCATTTCTTTGCTTCCGTCTGTTCTACTTTTCTTATGGATATACTCATACACTATTCATATTGTAAGATGTAATTACCAATTGTTAACTAATGACCAGTCTGAATTCCACTATGAAAAATTAGAAATATTATTATTGTTAACTGAACACAGAAGTATTGGACAACATCAACCTGTGTACTGTAATGATTTGTTTCTTCTTGATATCTTCGAAGTACTGTTAGCTTGCAGCATAACTACTCTACTCATTCCATAGTGTTGTTTTGTGAGTTAGTTCAGTTATTCAATGATGTGTAAGTATTCTCTAACTAGGATGATTGAAACCTCTGTTGTACACACTGGACCACACCCACAATATGATATTTGCTGGACAAGGGAGTTTAAACTCATACCTGGGACTACTTCATAGTCATTGATTTCTGTCGTATCTGCAGCATAGAAGTGTAATCTTCCTGACTGGAGTAATCGAAATGTAAGTTAAGGAATCGGGATGCTGCATGTCAAAATATGTCATTATTGCGTAAAAATATTCACCCATTATCTTATTCTGAACGTATAGTTGCTATTTGTCGTCTTACCCTTCTTCTATGTTCGTATCCTTGCTATTGTTCCGTCCAATATCTTTTTTCCATAAGTTCTCTCTTTTGTCTCTGCAAACCGTACGAAGGTGAACTAAAAGACTTTCATAAGAGATAATATGCTAGCGTACCTATATCTTCCTACATTATAATTTTCACAAAAGCTAAGACCAATTTTCACGCTGGAGAATATTCAGAAACCATGTAAGTAATACTTTTAGTCATCCTAATATCATAGATTGAGGACTCTACCAATAGCTGCTACCTTGGCTTGGTGATCGGACTTGTGTATCGTACTGATTCAACGAGCGATATCGGCTGGGGCGCTTGCTTTTTCGAGTTCTTATCATGCTAAAAAGATCTGTTTGATATGGGTAAGACGAAAGGTTGTAGTGTAGGTTGCTACACTATGATGGCTGTGCGAGGACGAAGTAGTACTGCTGGCTGAATGGGGTGTGACAGCAGCAAAGTGTTTTCCGCAGATCACCAGCATTACCGTGCTGATGTCGTCTTCCCGGCGGAAAGGGAAGGGGGGGGGGTAGAGATGGTTGGCGGCAAAAGCAGCACACTCCTACACTCTTCTGTTGGTGGAGGTATGGGTTTTTTCTATCCGACGTTAAAACAATCAAATCGCATACCAAGAATCCTAAAAAGGCTATGTGATGGGCCTCAAGCAGATGTCGCATGGACTCTGGGTTTACACAAAATGTTTCCCCTTTCAGGTACCCTGCAGAAACAACTTATACGTTGAGTAGCCAAGAAGTGTTGATTGCCCGCTGACGGAATCTCAGCTGGGATACGAAATACCCATTTGACATATGCCAACTGGCGTTCTCTTGTGCCAACTACATATTAAAGGACCAGTATATTGCTTTGCTATCCGTTGCAGTGAGATATGGCTGTTAAAGGCAGAATATATGGAAAAACTGCAGGTTTTTTAACATAGGTGTCTTCGTGGTATTGGTCGTGTATGACCGGATCACCATTTTAGCAATATCTACCTAGGATGAAGAATACCAGGGAAGAAACGCAAGTTGGTCGATGCGGTTATGAACCTTCAGTGAACGAAATGGCTTGGATATGTATTGTACGTGCCCATGCGCTGCCTATATCTGTGTACACTGCTAGGAGAAATCGAATTAAATTGTTCAAAGTATCAGTTTAGCCGAATCAAGATACTGCACCAGTGAATCAGGTTTCTTACTGTTGGTCTGTATCGTATAGGGAAGATGTAGGCTGCTTGGTTGGGGTCCTCAAAACGGTATGAATTAGTGGTTGAGGGCTATTGGTGACATCACAATAACTCAGATGTATTCACTCCTGTGAAGTGTCGCACCGTAAAAACGTTGCACTTGTGTACCAGGTTGTAAGTTGATTTTTTTGTTTTTCTTTTATGATTAAGGATATTTGTCTTTGCATATTTAGGAGTAATCCACTCTTTGAAACCAATTAAAGCTTGAATTTTGTTTGTGAATCCTTTCGAATATTTAACTACTTTTGTTTGTAATTGTCATGTCTTTAAATTTTCTGTTGTCTAATTAAACTCATTTTGTGCTCGTGAAGAGATACCGATGGTCAACTGGAAAACATCAGTGTCGTCTTCACAGTCATTATGTAAATGAAACTTTTAACAAACTTATTCAAGAAAGCAAGCCTTTTTGACTGGATGGAATTTATAATGCGATAATAATGAATAGAGAATTTCAACTTTTTTATTTATTTAAAAAGTGTGCTGAAATTTCAACTTTTTTTCTTCGTTTACCGACTAGAAGTTTACATACTTTTATCATAAAATCAGCTGGTTCGAGTCGAAGATGCCGAAAACCACATTAATTACTTTTCAAACGCGTCTGAACAGCTGAATTGCCAATGACAATAACTAACTTCCACTAAAATTATCTCTGATTTTCACTTTTTTTGTTTGCATGTTTGTCTTATCCCTTTCGATTTTATTGAAATTAACAACTGGTCCATATGATACATTGCATCTTATGCGTGAGAGTCACATCATCTCTTGATTACTTGTGATCCATTTTCAGTCTGTTTATTTCTAGTATGCGAACTGAACAAGCAAACGCTTTAGTGGTTAGTGTGAAGCCCTTTTGAATTCTGTATCTGGAAGTGATTGTATTTGTAAGCTGAATTTTTGTGATAAAAACTGTCAAATTTTTGCTATTATAGATATTCAGGCTATGGTTGTTACAAATGTCCTTGTAGAATTTGAACACTGAGTCTGATTTAATCACTATACAAGTAGGTTTTTATATAATTCCAGCGTGTTTAGATCAAAACGAGTTTCTGCTGAAAAAGCTGATGTATACACAGCGAAATGTCCAGATAAATCTTGTTTTGATTATATACACATGCTGGAATTACATTAAAACAGATAATAATCTAGACCATTATCTATATTTTTTTTGCCGCTTCACGTAAGTTTTGTTTGCAGTTAGAATAATGGTTCTGATCTCTTTATCAGTCTTTACCTTGTTTTTTTTGGATATATTCATGCTTAAAATTGATTTTCTCTTTAACTTAAGTGCATGAAACTGAACTAACTTATTTTTCAGTCTATCTGTATACCTTGACTACTTCCGAACTCAACCAATATATTCATTGTTGCATAGCACCTTATGGTTAATCTACTGAACTTCGATCAGATTTGCTGTCCAGAAATTTCGCTTTTTTTCAAACTCTTGGAACTGTGTTTAAGGTTTGTAAAAGTTCGAGAATTGCGTTTTGTATCTTGATGGACATCAAGACATTTGGTAAAATTAGCTTCACGACCTTTTAGAGATCCATCTCTCTATGTTACTACTGAAATTAAACCGGAAGCTTTTATTATTACTGACGTATGATTGAAGAAACATATGGCTGAGGTAAAGTATCGCAATTCAAAATTAGAACTATTGATAAAAATCTGAGTTATGGCAAAAGTCAAATCAGTGGCCTCTAAATAACTATTTCGATGTTTTGGCAGGTGAGCTACAAGACCCAATTGCTGACCAGGTCTTAACTTAAGTCGCTGAAAGTTCCTCCTAACCATCATGTGATCGCGTGATGCGTAACCACACTATCTAAGCAGCTAAGACTTCTTATATAAATCTTCATCGAGGTAAATTAGAAATGGGAATTGTTTGATGATTTTGAGACACCAAAATTGCCAATCCATTATTGTTAGTTTATTTGGTTGTTTTCTGCATTTTGTGTCAATACGTACATATTATTGCCTAATCCTGAACCATTATTATGTTGAAATGAGGATGTATTCAGTATGTTATTTTGCACTACGTAATATTTTGTTCAACACCGAATGAATAACTCTCATATTTTACTTTACCTGTAGGCTACTGAATTCGTACTTACTAACTTATTCTACTTGACGTTAAGACTCGCTGATTGTCCAACTTCATCAGAGGCTCTGAAACAACTCTGGGTTATATTAGTTCGTCATCGGTCCTCAAATCTACGCGTGATTCTTCGTTATCTTATCATAATCACATCTCTTGCGCCCTGTACATTGTTGATTCATGTGAGTCTTACCATCTTTATATATTTATTTCGACAATGGATTCTTGCCACATAGGTATTATAAAATTCAGTTTACTCACTATTCGGTGTATTTCAACAAACATTAGCTTGTTACTTAGCTTGCTTTCGGGACTGTTACATGCGATCAGCTTAAAAGTTGCACCTAATGTGGTGAATATTGATTTCCACTGCGATAGAACTGTGATACTATCGAAGCAATGACTTTATTACAGCTTTTTAACATTGGATAATGGGTATAATTTTCAGATTCAAAATATATTCGGATAAATCAACAGATATCAATGGAATATATTCGTAAAGTCCCAGTGAAGTAGAAAAACAAATTTATGACGTTTCACGACTTCATGAAAATTGTTTCCCCAGAGAGTAAAACTTGTACAAGTTATCGGCCGTTTAACCAGTAAAATAGTAATACTTTTACTAAAAAAGTATTCATGATCTTAGTATTTATAAGTAATCCATAAAAGCGAAAAAAGAAATGCATTCAGCCAGCTTGTGAACATCCACACAATAGGCAGTGGCCCTTACCTATTATATACGGCCAGCAATACTACCTAGCTTCCAAAACCTCGGTAGGTAGGGCCGGGCTCGAACCCGTGACTCACCAATTGATAGTCATGCACCTAAACCACGAAACTACAGCTAACTAATGCTTAGAAAATCCATAAGAAATAGCAGCTACCGAAGAGTTTTACTATATCTTCCATCTTGTATTACATTTAATGAATACAGATTGATATCTGAAATAGGAGTAGTATTGCTTATTACTTGTACGTTCTTGTTATTCCTATGTTGATTTCAGGTTAAACGCCTTCTCACGTATCTGGCTTCTGAAAATCCTGAAAATGTTGTAGGAGAACTAATGGTCGAGATGCAAGTTAGTCTATATTTTTTGTTTGGTGTAAACACCGAACTAGAATATTTTGAAAGTCCTGTTTTATCTTCAGACAATAATCTCATCACTTCGAATACCTATTACTCGAGCATATTGTTCACCAGTAGGTCTCATTTAGCTTCTGGCTATTTCCACTTCTTTGAATAAGGTTTATGCGCTTACTAAAAGTATATCTTTCCAATGGAAAGGCTGTTCATGAATGGATCGTTAATTGTTCTAACGAATATGTTTTTTATGCAGTCCAGTTCATAAATGTGGTAACACTATTTCGATGATAATTTCTCAATAGACTGAATATTTACTACCGGATAAATACAGAAAACTTTTTTATTATATTAAATAATTTAAATTCATATCAACTAGTAGTAATTGGTTATTGCTTACCTTGAATTAGAATTAGCTGTCAATGTAGCGTTGCTGGACTCACTCACTCATGCATGACAAGGAACTCCTCAGATAGTTATTAGTTTCTTCACATATTCAAATTTCATTTCAATGTTTAATCCCGACTCTAGCTGTCTGTAGTGTTACGTTAGCAGTTTACGTTTTCACTTTTTTTTAGACTATTGATAGTATTGGTCTAGTTGTTGAACCGGCTTCTAATTTACCCTTCTTTCATGTGAGTGCGTCTACTCAACAGCGTAAATCTAATGAGGAAATGCTAACTTCTGAAGTCAAACCATATGTTTACCATCATTCTTCGTCTAAGTCCACTGAGGACCCTGCTAAGAAACCTTTTCTCAATTCAGTAACCAGCCAAGACGTTATTGGACAACCAGATGCTGAATTAATCGCTTTAGGTTTGGATAATACACCTCGTTCAAATACCACAGTACAAACACGTAGATTGCGTAGTGCCGTAGGAGGAAGATATGATTGCCGTAATGTCATTGGTACTTCGAATACAAAGTAAGTGTTTTTATCCATTTCATCCATGCACACTCCTTTTACTTTGCACAAAACCGATCGAGTAGGCAGTTTCTTCAATAAAGAAAATTATTGAGAGACAAGTGGACCGATAGCTCTTATACACCAAAACACTGCTGGGAAACAATAAAGTGCCTGAGATTTCGAGGAAAATTTAGTGCAGAAGCATTTGGGTATCTGTAAACGATTTCAAGCCAAGTCACTTAAAGTATCGAACTGTCTATTTCAATTACTTTTCGAACCCCAACCAGAAGTGATTTTTGTCTTCCAAATCAGTGATAAGATACTTTGTTTATTGGCAGCATTTCGTAGCTGGTCTTTTTATCCTTAAGCTAATTCTGCACTTAGAGAAATGTCATAATCATATCTATTTAACTTAGGTATGAATCTTTTTAAATGGTTTAACTCCTTTACCTACTACTATACAACCCACTTAACGGTTTCATATGTGTAGGGATGAAAAAGGTTAACCTTCGTGTATCTTTACTTAATGACTTTGGTTTACAATTTTATGGCGCTCTTGGTTCCTTATTGGCGTTTCCATGGGTCACCCGAATCGCAAATGGTAAGAAGATTTGCATGTATGTTCCGAGAATTCGTTAGGGTTTATTTGACTTAGGAGCTGAATTAGTAGTATCTGTATGGGTCCAACATTGTTATTTTGTCTCCAAAGACTACACTTCTTCAACCAACGTTAGTCAACAGAATCATATCTGCGTTAAAAAAAGCTATGTGAAAAGTTTCGGTGATGTTAACAAACACTGAGGAAATCGAAACAATGAAGGGTAATTTGCTTATCAACCGATCTTGAATAATTAACAGCAGTTAGTCATTTGATGGGACATATTAAACCGTAATAATGTTTCAGTTACTTGTTAATAATAAATGATATAAACTGCTTTTATTTATTTATTATTTTCGTAAGTCGATTTATATCCAAATTGGCTAGTTAAAAAAACTGACCTTCAGAACATAATGCTCAGCAAAGCTATCACAGAGAAAGGGAATTTCGTGGTTTCCCAGAATAAGCGACTAGGTTACAACTGCGTTTCGATGCTTAACGATAAGCGTACAACTTGATCAGAATGTAGACACTTGTCAATAGATTCCCACAAACCTCTAAACTAAAAGACAAAAGTCTCTTACAAAATTTCCAAACTTCTAAATAAATTTAAACAGCGTAATGAGAAGACAAAATTATCTAAAACATGTGGTGTTTTAGCGCTATGCATTCCAAAAAAATCCTGATCACACATGAACTTGTCGAATAATTTATATAAAAAATTTGAGAAACGTTGGGGTTATCAAGGGAGCTGATTTTTTCAATTTGTAAGTAAATGTAACCACAAAACCTAATGGTTGATTTTGGCAGTCTTGATGAAAGACGGTTAGGAATTACTTATTAAAGTTACTGAGAAGCTAGTCTATGTATAATTAGTTACACTGAACTGGCTTCGATAGTTGATCATCCTATTTCTTAAAAGAAGGAGGCAAATTTTTCTTGGAAATAACCACGTGAAAATCCGCTTGATTGACATGGTCTTGAAAATCCCAGAATCTCCAGACCCGGAACAAAAAAAATTAAAAACTGCTAGTGATTTACAAACCTGAATGAGAGTGGATTGATTAAATCTTGCTTCTTCAATAGATTCAAAAAAGGCTCCTTTAAAGCTATATCCCTACGATATTCAGCTCCATAAATGAAGAAATAAAGTGAAAATATCTCCGTAATCAAAATCACATGTCTTTCACACCCGTTACAGTCAGGACGATGATGCATATTTGGTCAGTACCGATATCGAGTTAAAAAAACAGTTTTGTAGTGGAGTGTGTTGAACTCTCATGTATTTGACAAGTTACATTCACGTGCATTTTTTGATTTCTGATAAAATTTTATAACTGATGCAAAGTTTCGATTTAGGACAAATGATACCATTTCTGTCATCGGTCAGATATCTGGTTGCTTGTTGCACAATTAGCGTACTATGCAGTTATCGTCTTTGTCTTAATGTACACATATGAAACAAGTCTTTTGAGAATAAATGACATTATGAGGTTACTGGTATTCCATCAAAAATGTCCTCGTAGCATTGCTCATGATTGACTAAACCAAAAATTGATGTGTTTAAATTTAACAAGTGGTGACAGTCATCGATTAAAAAGTTAGCAAACTGTCATGATATGGGTGAATAGGATGCATGTTTTACTTTCTGAATTAAAATTAGGTTGCAGAAACTTCAGAGTATTCAGGTCAAAATATGATATTCACCTCACATCTTCAGCTGTTGATCTGGAAAATGGGAAGTAGTGTCTGGTTATCTTAGTTACTCGGTTTTTAACCTATGAGTCGTAATTGTGAACCCTGTTACACATACTGTGATGTTGGCATCCAAGTAGTATCATAAGCTGTCACATATAAGGTGTGGTTTTTCTTCATGATAAACTTGCATAGATCCACTGATATGATTTATTGCGAGATTTCGTGATATTGGAAGAAAATTACTTAAAGACTTTGGGTGACATGGCGCAGAATCGATCAGTCTGTTCGTTCTTTATCTTCTTCCAGATATCAAAAGTTTGGTCAGTGATTTGATCCCAGTTCATTGATTAAATGTATCATACAACGAAACAGTTTTATCTACTGGATTGTATTTCGGACCCATTAAGTTGTCTGTAGTCATATCAAGGTACCTCTGAGCTTCACCAACGAGCGTAGGTAGTTGTTGATGAGTGTCTGTAGTTTATTGGAAATGCCTTTCGTGACATGCCAAGTCTCTGAACCATACAGAAGCACTGACTTGACGTTAGTGTTGAAAATTTGGATCTTGTTCCACATGCTGAGTGCAGAAGATCTCCACACTGGTTTCAGGTTAATGAAGGCCTGTCCTGCTTTTCCGATTCTGGCTGGCTTTGACATCCTCGTCTGTGCCTGTGCCGCCTGTAGTTGAAACAGTGCTGCCTAGATAGGTGAAACAGGCCACTTCCTTTAGTTTTCTCCCGTTGATGGTGATTGTTGGTGATGGTGTTGGTTGGGTATGTTCATCACCTCTGTCTTCTCTACGTTCACCTGAAAGAAGTCCGGTCTTCGCTGACCCACCTCTCCTGCCAACTTGTTGGTTTTCGCCTGTAGATCTTCAAGTTTCTCCGACATAAGTCACAAGCTATCGGCGAAATCCAAGTCTTCTAGGTTCTTTTCCGCAGTCCAGCGTATCCCCCTCTTCTCACAGCTCTTCACTGTTTGTTGCATGATCCAGTCCACTACAATCAGGAATATCAGGAGTGATAGTAGGCAACCCTGTTTCACTCCCGTTTTCACTTGAAAAGCATCACTGAGCTTCCCATTGTGAATTACTTGGCATGTGGCGTCTTCAGATAGTTGTTGAATGAGGCTGATAAAAGTTTGTGGTATTGCGTAGTACTGAAGCAGTTTCCAAATTACCTCTCGGCCGACGCTGTCAAAGGCCTTCTCAAAGTCGATGAAGTTGACCGCCGTTCCATACTCTGTTCTATGATGATGCGTAGTGTAGCGTTGCAATTTGGTCTGCACATGATTTGTACTCCCTGAATCCAGCCAGCCTGTTCCGGTCGTAGTTTTGAATCCAGCGCATCCTTTAGCATCTCCAGGATGATGCGGCTTAATATTTTGCTTGTAGTACACAGGAGCGTGATTTGTCACCTGTTCTTGCAAAGACTTACGTGTCCCTTGTTTTGGAGTTTGACAAGGTAACCCTTCTTCCAATCACTAACCAGGTACCTTCTCTTCCTTCCACACCCCCTGCAATAGTGGTGTGAGCATGTCCGCTGTTGTCTCTGCATCTGTTTTCAGTGCTTCTGGTGGGATTCCATCTGGTCCTGCTGCTTTCCCACATTTCAGTAGCTTTATGGCATTCAGGACTTCCATTTTTGTTAGAGGATTTATGTTCACTTGTAGTTCTGTGGCTGGGCTGGAGGTGGTATTTCTGGACGAAGTGCAGGTGGTGGTGGTGGTCGATTCAAGAGCTTCTTGAAGTGGTCGGCCCATTGTTTCCTTTGTTTCTCTTCTTTCGTAATTAAATTTCCTTCATCATCTTTTATTGGTTTCATCTGTGTTGATCTCTTCCCAGATAGTAACCTAGTTATTTGATACAATGTTGTCAGGTCTTGTCTCTCCTACCTGCAGCCTGTTCTGCTTCACTTGTCAGTGTGTCTTGGGAGTGTCTATTGTCTTTCCGTGCACTCTTCTTCAATTCTTTGTCCAGTGTTTTATATATTGCACTCAGTTCCTCTTGTCGTTGTTCATCCTGCACTGCACTGGTTTATCTTCTGCTTCACCATCCTCCTCTCCTTACTCTATCAGCTTCCATGTGTCCATCAAGATCCATTCCTTATCTTCTTTCTTCTGAATACGGTTATGCAGGTTTTTTTTCCATATAGCTTTCAAAGAGTTCCAGTGCTCATCCACACAGGTTTCTTCAGGGATGTTCCTCGATATCTCCCATTTTGTCTTGATGGCTGATGTGATGATTTTCTTCGTAGTTTCGTCCTTCAGTTTCTGTTATGGGTGTTGAACTTGAACCGTGTTCTATCACCAACTTCCTTGAAGGCTTTTAACTTGATTTGGAAGGCAGGTTCCTTGAACTAGACAGTGAGTGGTGTGAACCTACATCTGCTCCTCTTCTTGACCTTGTGTTAGGTATACTCCGTCTCCATTTTCTCTAGACTGAGATAAAGTCGATCTGATTTTTAGTGTAGTGTGTCCTGGTGTCTGGTGAAATCCATGTTGCTCACTTTGTGGATATCCTTGTGCTTGAACACACTGCCTCGCCTCCAATCACCAAATCGTTGAATGCACAGAATTCTGAAAACAATTCTCCATTCTCATTCTTCATTTCACCTAGCACTTCTCGATCAATGGTTAGTTCTCTTCCTGTGTTGTCTGCTCCCAGTTTGGCATTCATGTCGCCCCACGCATTAGAATTTTGATGTCGCCAACTGAGGTCTTGTCGAGTGTTGATTGAAGTTGTCTGTAGAATTCCTCCTTTTTCTCTTGCTCTGCATTATTTGTAGGTGCATAGCATTGTATGATTGTGACCTTCCTTCCTTTTGAGTTGAAACTTGCTGTTATGATCCTGCAGGAGGAGATTGGTTCCCACTGCATGAGAGAGAGTCTTCGATGCTGTTCAAGGGGACATCATGATAGCCACTCGAAAACTCAGTGTGCTGTGCTCGTGGTTGTCGTCTGGGTGACAATATTGGAGTAGATTATTGACTCTGCAGTTGACAGTTTGGAGGGTCCACTTCCATTCCATCTGCTTTCGTAAATTCCAAGCACTTCAATGTGATACCTCCTCATCTTGTTTGCAATGTGGGCTGCCTTGCTGGGTTCAAACATGGTGCGGACACTCCATGTCCCCACGTTTACTTTCGCTTTCTTCGAGAAAGAGAAGACACATGGGCCAATTGGCTTCTGGGAGGCTTTCACCAACTGTCGTCATCTCACCTGTCTGATTGCAGCGAGGAATAAGTTTGTTTCTATTTTTTACAATTTCTTTGTGTTTTGAAGTTTATTTAGCGATTGTATTGGTTTTAGAGGGTAGGGTTGCTAGCCCTATGACCAACCTTCCCTCGTTATCCGGGCTTAGGACCCGGCGAGTAACTAGTTAACTAGTTGACCAGGCGAAGTTCATTACCTGATAAGTGAAGCATATTTTATAGAATCGATAACAAACACTTTATGAAGCATAGTTCAACACTAATTTTCGATACTTGGAAAAATTAACTATCTACAAAATCTGAGAATGAAAAACACCAATCTTTGAAAAAAATCAAAACTGTGAAGAATTATTACTTCTCGACGATTTTATTTTGTTGTTATACAAGCGTTAATAATCATCTGGAAAAAACAGCAGTGTATCATTCATCAATAGAGTTACAAGATTACTGGAACCTTTTAGAGTAGGATAAAAGTTTTCTAAAGACCGGAGTATAGCTTTGGTAAGTTAAATCCTCGAAACAAAACTTTCTTTGGTGTTATTTCTTCGTGTTATCATGTAATATGGTGTTTTTTCGTTTACTGAAAAACTGTTATGCTAGACCGGAAATTTGTTTGATTACCTTGATATTTTTGTGAGCAATAAGTTTTGCTGGGAATGTCAATCAGTGAATAAAGCTTACTAGTCAAAGCGTATTGAAATAGAATTATGTGCTGTCTTTGCCCAAAGTCTACTTTTGTAACAATAAATTCATTTCATACTTTTCCTTTTGGAGTTAGCTTCATTAGTTGGTGGTTCAGTAATAACCTTGAAAACTACGTTAGGCTTGTGAATATTATGGAAAATAAGTTACCTTGCTCAATCATATTTATTTTTTTTACTATCTTCCTCTTTATAATCTGGTACAGTTTGTTTAGTTTATGTGATGCGTTTGTGTGCGAGTTCCTAGGTTCGATCTATCTATTAGAAGCAACATTTATGAATGCATTTTCTTTTTTGATGAGTTCATCGTTTACTTTTCATTGAATAGCGCTATTCCTCCGACTATTGGTATGCGTCCAAAATCAGCTACTTGTCAACCATCTCTTAATTCCGTCGGTAAATCTGATCAGACTACTGTTGATGCAAATAAGAAACATTTCACTTCAACATCATCTTCAAAAATTATTCATGATAACCACATTACTACTTCTTTATCTTCAAAAACGGAGAAAAATCATGATTTGCCATCGACATCTAATTGTCAGTTAGTTGAAGAGAGTGACGGAGAACCAGAAATCGATGTTGATTCATTTGAAGGTAAGTGCTATGTTTAATTAAATAAGCCTTATATAGTGCATGATTTTTCTCTTACCACTTCGATATAAAATATACTCGATGTTATAGGTGTTGAAATATAAGGGATTTTCGTTTCACGTTGCAAAGAGAAAAAGAAACAAGGGGGCGTCATCTAATTATAGTTTTTAATGTATCCGAACCTGGAATTCACAATAGTATTGTTAGATTTAAATGTTATTTATACAGTCCTTAATGAGTTATGCTTTCTGAATTTTGCTTTCTATCATGTTTTATTTTTATTATGATAATTGACTGTGATGACTATAAGCGCTTATTGACATTGAGCATGTTTGCTGAAATTCTCGTTTTAATAAACAAGTTGTATTTATAGCCACCTACTTGTCGGTTCTTACCAGTGAGTATGATTCTGTTACTAAAGAAACCTGTATTTCTGTTGCAAATTTACGAAAGAATCGCTTGAGGATAACTTCAAATAGTCAGAAATTGTAGTTTCCATTTCTTGTTCGATTTCTCGTAAAGCGTGGCTATTTCAATGTAATATTCGTTATGTATTCAAAGTATTGTAGTGCCGTGTGAACCTGTTGTAGATGAGTAGTTCTTCAATTCACTACACTTTTGCATAACTAAGCTATGTCACGGTCGTTTGCGTATAAAACCCTAGCAGTTTTAATTAGTGATTCAGGAAAACACTGCCTTGTAGAATATGTTATATTTCTTGTCCTAAGTCTCATGCTTTTAATCTCTCTTTTCGTCAAAATTATGATTGAATTGCTTCGGTGCCATTCATTTTTACCCTCCCTATTTGTTTAATCGATTGCTTAGACGTTATTAGTAACATCTTGTTGCCATTTCGGAAATTCGAAGTTTCGGAAAAACATGTTTATACTTCGGTATTAACTAATTATTGCTTCTGATTGATCTAAATAACTGGTTATTGAAGTCTTTAAGAAAGATAAAATTTTCCCTTGTAACAACCACTGTGGGATTAAATTTATGAATATAGTGTTTGAAATTATGAGTTTTTTAATCATCAGACGCCTAAGTGAAGCTCAGAAACAACAAACCCAAGAAAACCAGATGGGTTTGAGACCTGGTCGTTTGTGTATCGGCAGTGGGTTCACTAGACCTTGGATAACAAACATATTTATCGGTGTCTGACAGTAGCTACATTTCTTGATTTGAAGTCAACATTTGACTTCATTGAACGAGAGCTCTTATGGCAATGCCTGTCACTTAAATAACGCTTTTGAAAGCTGTCTATTCGAAAACTCTAGGATGTGTTAGAGCACATAACGAGGTTCCATTTTAGTTGATTTATTAGATTTGTCACGCAGTGGAATAGTATTTTTTATCGAGTCGACAACTAATACCCGTAAGAGGGGAATGAATGACATTTACACCTGTTCCGGATATATGGAAAATTTATTCACATCACAAAGGGGACGAGAAATTTAGAACTGTATAAAGGATGTTTCAAAGTTGTGTTGTTTTCTTGATATGACTACGGACAATAAGTTATTTCCAAAACATTATTCAATAAATAATACTGTTCCACTATGTGATAAATCTAATAAATCAAGTAAAATGGAATTACATCCTACCACAGTGCTCAAGTAACGGACTTAAGCCCTTCCTTTTTATCAAAGGATAGACAGATTTTTTATCTGGGTGTCTATCAGAATGTGTCGATTTTCTAAAAATATGTAGATTTATTGTTCTTATACCCTTATACCATACTAATTTCTGAGAAATTGGATTCAACATTCTTGATGAAAAGAATACTTCTGCACTCATTATTTATATGTCGAGCAAGTTCATCATAACTGTTGCATCTGTTGATGGTAAACGTATCGTCTACGCACCTTAGTCAAATTTTTAGAGGGGTTAAATATTTTGCTATTGGATTAGTTTCTAATAGATTCATGAACAAATTTGATACTATTTAGGGTACTAGAGATCTCATTGGTACACTGTCTGTTTTTTCTGCACAGATCCAGCCTGAATATGAATATCTGATAATAGCAAGCTGTATATGATATCTCATGCGTCCTAAAAAATGTACGTTAGTAAATAAAGAGAAAAACATCAAAACTTGCCATTATTTCGTAAGATGACATGATTTTGTCCTTGAATTCAGAAGAATTTAATACATATTCTACTTTTCGTATGGTACCAAGATTTATTATGTGCATTTCTCTAAATTCTATATCTGTGAGTTATTAAAATCCACAGCTGATCTGACAAGAATACTTACATTGTGTATTTTCGGTAGCCCACGGAATCTATTGGGGATGTAAATCTTTGGTGCTAATGAGGCGATAAAGAAGCACCTAATTTCTCCTCTATATATGTCATCATTTTGCTAGTCTCAGCTTTCAGTTTCTTCAGCATTATTTGGGAATTCGGAACCCTTATCTTCTGATAAGAACGAGTCTTAAAATTTTACCTTGCTTTTTTCTCGTAGTTAGATGAGTTCATTATCGCTGTGGTGATTGTAATAGTCTTATCTTTGCATAACTGTTCCATAGAAGACATTTCCTCCTTATTTATGTTTGATTTATGACGTAATAATAGGCCTGGTATTTTGTGTCTAACATCATTCGCAGCTTCACTTAAAATCCTTTTCGAAGTTGGTTCTATTGCAAGTCGCAATTTTAAAAGCTGATAGGAAAGGTTTATCCAATCGAAATTCAGAACCTTCTGAAGGACGGGGTAATTCATATTCAGACAAATTTCGATCACTATCACACTATTTATGTCAAGGTTAGATTTATTTTGAACCTCCCTCTTTTAAGACATACTTTCTGTTGAAGCATTTGTGCGAACTGTTCAATTTGTCGCTGTTTGATTGTTTGAAGTCAATAGTTTACTTTGATTAGTAAAACAATTGATAGTTACTTTCACTTCTATTGAGACAAGCTGGGATACGATGTTATCAATGTCTTGATGTGTAAACGAATCATTTCTAGAGAACAGGTAGGATTCATGCATGAGATTCTAATTCATCCTGACATACTAACAAAGTGATACACATCTCCCCACTGTATTTATGTCTGAAATTACTGAATGACCGATAAATTGGGTCTAATTAATGATAGAATAGTGCAAGCGAAATCGTATAAACGATACACGTTGCACAAGAAGTGGCTATCCTGATTTGGCAGTCTAGTGGCTAACGCTCTGGCGTTTGAAGTGGTTGGTCTTGGGTTCGAGTCTTAGCGGGATAAGATCACTCACTAGAAAGAAGGTGCATCCAGCTGTCGAGTCTCAAATAGGATGAATGGCATGTTCCAGATTCCACTGCTAGCCACTGTCCAGCATTGATGACTACGATTTCATCTATGACTCCTTTAGTCTCATATTTACGTTAAACGAGAATAGGGATAACGAAACATCATACAGGAAGAGAATACAGTTTCGTACTGAATGATTAGTAACCATATTTTGAAAACGATCATTATACGAATAGGATTACCCGAAGAGATTAAGTACATGTTTTTGGCGCGTTACGAAAGGCATTTCCAACAAACTACAGACATTCATCAACAACTGCCTACGCTCGCTACTGAAGATCAGGTGGCCAGAAAGAATAAGCAACATGGAGCTCTGGGAACGAACCAACCAAGAAGCTATCGCTGAACAAATATGCGGTGGAAGGAAGTGGAGATGGATTGGGCATACACTGAGAAGGCCGACTGGGACATCACGCGTCAGGCCAAACACTCGAGTGGAACCCAGATAGGAAGCGACGAGTTGGGCGTCTGAGGCAAGGGTGACATGGAGGAGATCAGGCGAGGAGGAAATGAGAGCTTGTGGGCAGTCGTGGAGCCAGGTTCAAAAGATTTCAGAGAACAGAGTTCACTGGAGACGTGCTACTGAAGCCCTATGTTCCATTAGGAACCCAAGGGACAAATAATAAAATAATTTTGAGTTCATCTGCAAATCCTTGACATTTAAAATTTGATTACTTATCTGAAGAAGCTGGGTCAAGACTTAAATGCGAAATATTGGGATTGTTTTGTTTCAAACATGCTGTAACGTAAATAAATATTAACTGTATGTACTTCCGATGTTTTAATTAACTTATTTGACACTAATTTATTAAAGGATATCAGAAATGGTAGATGTATTCAGTGCTCTCATGAAATCGTTTTATTTTCTCAAATTTTTCGCAGGTCTTAATAAGCGTGGACCGCCTTTTGATGACAAATATGCTACTCTGCGTGCCAAAGATATCGCAAACTTATTAACACCACCCATTCCCAGAGATTTTGAATCAAGCGATTCTGTTTCCGATTGTGACGTTCCAAACTTATCTCACCCTGATGCAATATTCAACTCTCAGGACCGATCTATCTTTTCTACTACCTTACCGAACCAGGTAACTGAGGTGAATCGTGCACAAATGTCTAACCGAATTTCGCGACCGCCCAAGTACTTAAAAGAATACAGAGAAAGGCGATTCAAATGGTTCAGTAATTCAAAAAGTGACACTGTTACGTCACTTGGAATAGATCCTCACCAACATTCAGCTTCATTGCCACCCAATCTAACCGATCTTCCTCCTTTGCCATTACCACTTCCTACCAGCATTTCTTCTATACTAAGTCTTTCTTCAAAAGGATCTACAGGACCCAACACTTGTATTTTACCACTGAATGTATCCAATACAGATAAGAAGAATGCTATCAGTTCTGATAAAACGGATATCAAACCTTCTGTTTCTGTTCGTATGTGTACGTGTTCAAATGTGCAAACAGGTCATGCAGCCAGCCAATCATCATTCGATTTCAACCCTAAACCATTACCTATGCCTGTTAACGGGGGCTATCAGGCTCCCCTTGGTTTATGGTTATCTGAACCTTTAGTCATTAGTGGGTCAGTCGTTTTTAGCGGTAGTTGGCCTCCTGCTGGACCTAGGTCACCTTTGGTTCTTATTTTGGCTGGCGGTTTAACTCACTCCAGGGATATCCGAATGGATTGGACTCAGCACATACCCTTGATGCTTTTGGGTGTTTTTCTAGGTAAACACTGCTTTTTTAAATCGCAGCTTACTCAGTATATTCAATCCTTGTTTTTTATGTTGAGTGATTATTTGGTTGATTTTTCTTTATAGTTAATGAATTTCATGCATATGGAGTTTTATTTGCCTCTATTTTACTCAATCAGGATTGCCTGATTTTTCCTGATATTTTGATTTTGGATCTTAAGTTCCGATGGTGGTTCCACAGAGAAGTGCGAACCACTTGCATCCCTTGAAGGTTACAATCCATATTCACATTTTCCTCGTTTTTATTTTGAAGATTTTCATTTCGAATAATACCAAAGTTTCTAACGAATTTCTTCGATGATGTTTCAACTTTGCCATTATGTTGTAGGTCGCGTTATAGGTCAGTAGGCTTTGTCAACTAGGTCATTCCCTTTCGGTATTACTTTTATGAATTGTTTTAAAATTGTTTGTCAACACAAACTCATTTAGTACACTGTGAAGATTTTCAGTTTTGGCGGTTTAGTTTTAATTTGTAAAATAAGAAAGAAATGTATAGGATTTTCTTGAAATCACTCTGCGACCATTAGCAGTTAGCTATTGTTTGTCGTGATAGACTAAAAAAGTTCGTCACATTTTTTTCTGTAGTTTTATCTACAATATAGTTATTTGATATACCGGTCTATCCTCCTTCAGCGTTCTACTTTAGGGTGTATACTGTTTCATATGTAAGCCGTATTCGTAATAGTCAGGCATAATGTTTCCTTTTTTTCTTAAATCAATAGGTATTGATCATTGCCGGGCCCTCGTACAAGAAGAATGTAAACAATTACTTGTATCCCTATTAGACCAAGTTTGTCCACATCATGATGCACTGCATTTGTTACGACTAGAATTGGAAGCCAATCTTCGTCGCCTTGCTCATCCTTCTGCTCTACCTGGTCCTCGAGTTCAGGATTATCGCCTGACTTTCGATGGTGGACCATATCGTGTAAGTAGTTGATATTCTGTATCACATTGCGTGGTGATAAAAACCAATAAAATGAATTCACTTTAAGATATTTGAATTCGATAACTATTATTTTCACTGTATTTCATCTTACTTCTAGTAACGTTTTCATCTTTTTCTCGACTACAGGAGAAATTCAGCTTGGTTATTGATCCTTTTATCCCAGATCAAAGAGACAATGTATTTTCCTCACCTCTGATTTCAAGCAGGGCTGTTAAATGTGAAGATAGTGAAAACTACAGAAATATATCTTCTACTGAAAATGAGGCAGCTTATCATACAACTTCACCTGATCTATTACCATTAAAAGATATTGATATTATATCTCCATTAGCTGCTAGTCCATCTTCACCTAATAGTAGTCCACCAATTATTGGGAATTTTCAAACTCATTCAACAACATTGATAAAACATGGTCGTTTGAGTGACTCTACATTTAGTCTCACTAGCACAGCAACTTTGATTCCACGTCATCAAGAAGTTAACACCTCTGAATCAATTTGTTATAACGATCAACCAGTGCATAATTCTAATCAGAATTCTGATGTTTCAGAAAAGTATCTATCGCTCAGCAAAACACCTACAAATGCTTTCGGGCCTACATCCGTTTATACTAATTCACGATCTTTGAAAACAGTCAATCCAAACCGTATTCAGTCCACTAATGGTCATTCTTTGAAAGCAGAAAAAACTAAAACATTCAAAGAATCTGATTTAAAACTTTTAGAAGAATCTATTCAAAAACTTAAGTCTGTACTTTTGGAATGGTAAGTTGTTCAGCATACTTAACTACAACATTACCTATCCATATATGTATATTTCCAATAGTCTCAAGAAACTAATGGTAGTACACTAACTTGTAGACAACAAAATAATCACATTTTCACTACTGAGTTTTTCTATGTAGCGTTGTTTATGCGTAAATGTCTAGTTGAAAACATTTGTTTCCCGATACAAATTTAAAACAAGCAACGAAAGTGAAAGAAGCAGGATTCAATGAATTCATAAATTTCAGTAGTACTCGTCAACTGGATACTCTACATACTTGATTATATATACCGTTAAACAATGGAAAGGAACATGCACTCATGAATATATACATACGTAGACTGAGACAGATTTAAGTGTAACAACATAGAAGTGAACAGCTTTAACGAAACACCTAATGGACTATGGACATGATATTGATGCCGGTAAGTCGTTTACGGTTATCTGTAGACAACCAAATAAAAAGTTGCTTGGGTATGCAGAAGCCTGCACAATTCGAGTTGTCAAACCAAACCTCTGCATTTAGAAGAAAATGATAGTCAGCTTGAATCTGTCATGGCAGTCATTACAACATTGCCTAATCATACTTGATCTTTCTTACTTGCTCTTCGCTCTTAATTATCACCCATCTGATATTTTGTTTTCCTTCCCTGATTTGTTTCACCTAATTGACCTTAGTCATACTACCATTGTTATCGTAATATTCATCTAAATATACGCCTGGTTTCCTTATTATGTCTGCATAAGTACTATTAACTATCTTGTTTTGAATGACGTGATCGACACACAATCGATTCAGTTCTCACCTCTGTGTCAACATTATTTTTAATAATGATGGGTAGTGGAATCCAAGATGCTCATTTCGTCCTATTTGGGAGTCGTCAGCTGGATATACCTGCCCCCAGTGAGTGATATTGTTCCCACCAGGATGCGCATTCTGGATTCCACTGCTAGCCACTACCCATCATTATAATATTATTTTACCCTTGGGTTCCAAGTGGAACATTGGGCTCCAGTAACACGCCTCCTTTGCACTCTCTTCTCTGCAGTCTTTTCAACCTCGCTTCACGACTGCCCACAAGCTTTCACTTCTTCCTCACACTATCTCCTCCATATCACCTTCACCTCGGACACCCAACTCGTCGTTTCCTATTCGCCTTCCACTCGAGGGCTCGGCCTGCCCGGTGGTGTCCCCAATCGGTCTTCTCAGTGTATGCTCAATCCAATCCATCTCCACTTTCTTCTGCATATTTGTAGGACGATTGCTTCTTGGTTAGTTCGTTGCCAGCCAGCCAGCCAGAGTTGCTTGTTGCTTATTCTTATTATTCTGGCCATCTGACCTCCATATTCAGTGTCGAGTGAGCGTAGACGGTGGGTGTTGATGAATGTTTGTAGTTTGTTGGAAATGCTTTTCGTGACGTGCCAAGTCCCTGAACCATATAGCAGCACTCACTGACTTGACTGACATTGGTGTTGAAAATCCGGATCTCATTCCGGCTTTGTGCTGGGTGGGGTGGGGTGGAGTGGAGTGGAGTGGAGTAGATCTGCACACTGATTTCAGATTGATGAAAGCCTGCCTTGTTTTTCCGATCCTGGTTTTGACCCATCATTACTATACATAATTAAAACACAGGCAACGTCGAGGCATCCTCACAGTAGCCCATATGCCAACAGAGACTGATCAAGACGGTCCAATCAACGACGGTGTAATACCATCGATAACAATTATTATTTTTACTATAATTATTTTCCTTCCTGAAATCCACTATCATCCAAACTCAGTTAACCTATCATTATAAGGATTATGGTCTGCTAGCTACAACCAAACAAATTACCTATGATCTAAATGTTTATAATTAGTTAACCCATCCCCAACCCATTCAATTTTGAATATCCATTTCTACCCTTTGTATTACCATTTGAGCAGTAAAAACTGTTCACTTCTATGTTGTTACACCTAAATCTGTCTCAGTCTACGTTATATATGTATATATATGTGTGTGTGTACATTCCTTTCCATTGTTTAACGGTATATATATCATTAGGTATGTAGAGTATCCAATTGACGAGTGCTGCTGAAATTTATGAATTCATTGAATCCTGCTTTTTTCACATTCGTTGCTTTGTTATAAATGTCTATGTCTTCTTTTTCAAAGTAGCTATTTCGTAAATTTGCATCTGTTGTGTGTTGGATTACGTGTATTCTTCAGTATACGTGTATTTGTAATTGTGCTTTATGGAGAGCTTGTGAGCTTGCGTGTTCAAGCAGTCATGATCCTGGATTTTCTGATGATGGAATACAGTTTGATTTGTAGATAAATATCAGTTAGCTTCTCTCTCTTATTTCAGTTCATGAAATGCGAAAAGTTATTAAGTGCCCTTGCCTACACCCTTGGAGGTAGCTTATAGTGATGGGCGGAAGAGAGTTATCGTCTTCTGTGTTCGATTAACCGTGCATTATCTGTGATTGAAGTAGTATGCTCCTTGTTTGAAACCTTTGTATAGTTTATGAGAGTTTGATGTGGTGATAACTATAATTTTCTTTTTTATTATATGATATTTTCTTAAAGTGTATTCTGGTGTCTATTTCAGTCTTTTTCGAGTCACGATTTATGAACTTTCCACTTCAATCTCTATTCATTTATCGTAATGTGATTGGTGTTCTTGTTATATTGAGTAGTGTTTACACTTCGTTTTCTATCGTCTCCTTTTTTCAAATGTTAGTTCAGGACAAGCTTTATGGACTTGGGAGGATTTCAACCTACAACGTAATCCATCTAATTCTACCATGCAGTCTACTTACCAATACGAATTCAATCAGTTTATTACCAGTGAAAAATCAGAAATGAGAGATTCTACAATCAAAACAAAGAGCAGTATGAATTCACTTGAACAACTTGTTAAACTTGTCGCTCGTATACTTGCTTTATCGGAAGTTGGTTCAGAAGAGGCTGAAAAGTGTTTGCAGTGTCTACACGGTCCACCACATGATCATAACAGACGAGGTATAACTAACCAAGACGATTATAACAAGGATACAAACTCTAATTATTCAAACTATTGTTTGGTGGCGCGTTTATCTCAGGCTGCTTTGAATACCGGGTTATCTTGTCCTAGTCGACACTATGCCAGTCGTTCTTTACAAATTCATCGTGCTCTTGGAGCTCATTTAGACAAAAAGTCTCTATCACGCTTATTAGCTAGATTAGGTGAAACAGTGTCTGATGGGAATGAAGAAATGCAGGTGAATAAATTCTTTCTTATTCTTAAATGAATATTAGGTTTCTGTTTATTGAAATGTTTTATTTGGATATTTTACTAAATTTCATGTTGTATAAGACGGTGACACTGACTTTTAAGCGTATTTTAAAAAAAAACTTTTTTTCGAATCCTAAAATATGTTTCACTCACGTTAAGATTAGTATTTCATTGGAGCTCAAAGGAATCGGTCGGCTGCATATCCTACATGTCCATAATTGATTTATTTTAGTTTTCTAAGGCTATGGATAGATTGTGCAGCCAGAAAGTAGGGAGTTCTAATATTTACTTTTTAAAACGAGAGAAATACGCACACAACTTATGTCTGTTGTCGGTGAACTCTTTTGATAAGTATGCTGCTTCATAGCTTATAAATAGACTGCTGGTCTTTATTTCTACGTAACATTTATGTTCTCCCTTTTTTTTTAAAAAAAGTGATACTCTTCAAATCTTATTACTTCTAGTTTTTGTAGTGATAGCTAAGTACATCCAAAGGTTTTAGTAATAGTGGACAATAGCTTTACTGTACTATAGTTCAACAGACTTGTCATCATTCCTTTTACATTCTTATATATTCTAAATCAGCCAATGTTCACTTCTTGTTGTTTTTTATCGTTATAACATTGTCGCATCACTTGTTTCACTAGCCAAACAATGCTGATGGAAGCCTTTCATTCCAGATACAAGTGATGTTAAATTGGTAGGCTTCATTTAGTAGTTGTAGTAATATACATGATCATGCTTTATAGATAATTGGTTCAGAACAGTTCATATTCGACTTCTAACCACAGTACTACGTTTATGGGTTCGAGGCTTAGAGGAAATGTGATTTTAGTTCACAAATATTTCTATTTAGTTAATATTAAGGAGTATGAAACTTAGTTCTGGGACTTATCGATTGCCTTTTAACGTATAAAGTTGCTAAAAAAAAATTGTTTTTTATTCATTATTTTTCTTTTTATACTGTTCTAAAAAGGACTACTGAGTTTTACATACACCTCATTGCATAATTCCTAATTGGCATAATTTTACTTCAGGGTTATGTTGCTGAACTTCTTGTTACACAAGAAGCAGCTATTCATCACTTAAAATTTAAAAGTGATAGCCTATTGGAACCTGTTTCCACCTTCAGTGTTGACCCTGCATCTCCAACATCTGGTTCAATGAATGGAAACGGACGTAAGTCTGTTCAAAACATAGTTTCAGTGTCTGATCGTCGTCATTTTCATCGTCATTCTAAATCTTCCTCTTTTATTGGAAATCGTTCATGCCATTTAAGCTCTGTAGTGCCAGTCAGTGATCCACCTATGTTGAAATCAAGTCAAGCAACTACTCCAACCTTAGAAAACACATCACCTACATCAGTTGCATCTACTTCTAGGTAAATTTCTTTTATTGAAATCAATATTGTTGTTTAGATTTTTTTAGCTTCCAAACTTTGTATCTTATTATGTAAATTAAGTCGACATACGGCTTCATATATTAGACTTCAAGACCTAAAAGCCAACGATAACTGTTATTTGATTGTTTAAATCAAAGGCGAATGAGTTCTTTAAGGCTGTGTATGTTTGTAAAAGAAATTAAAAAAGAGCAGCACTTAATAACTGTGAGTTCGTGTATCAATGATCAAACCACTGAATATATGTTCAGATTAAAAGTCTGCATAACTCAGCTGCTGAAACCAAACTTCTAATAATGTTCAGTGTGTCAATCAAAGAACTCGTTATGCTTTATTTTCACTCATCCTAATTATCCCTTGCTTACGTCAGGTGGAAGTAAAATCTGTTCAGCTCAAGGCATAGTTAATGTTATGATACAAGCTACTCTGAAAAATGCATTAGGCCATTATAGTAAGATGAGTCAAGCAAGTATGAGAAAAGTAACTCATTAAAATGAGGTAAATAGATACTTTTATGAGCGTTTTGCCACTACATTGTACTGCTTCATGTTAAATAGTTAAAATAGTTGACTTGCTTGGACACTGAGGAAAGCTCCAGATTTTACATCATTATTATTCTTATTGTTGTTATTAGCGTGTGGTAGAAAAAAATTCTGTCGGATTAATCTGCCTTTCCTGATCCATTTCCTCTGGCAACTTGGATGGAGAAATCCATTTTTTCCCCTGGTGTAATGCATAAGAAATGACTTGTATTATTATTACTACAGATAGTAACCATCTGTTCCTCACATTATTCTTCATCGATATATCATGCAGTGACTGTTTATTTTTAAATATTTTTCAGTCATTTAACAAGGAAATCTATCGCATCGATGACATCCACACCTAAGTTAAATAGTTGTAGTAGTAATAACAAAAGCAGTGTATGCTTGTTATCTGCGGGAGAGCGTGCTGACTTAGTTATTGGGATCTTTTGGACTGGAGTTTTGCTGTTGGAATCAGATTTTGAGCATGAGTATTTAGTTGGCTTAAAACTTTTGAGTCTTGTTATTCCAAGCGTATGTGCGTCGGATTTGAACCAACTATCAATGGCGTATGCTGAATCGAATGGCCCGAAAATAAATCTTAGCGACAGAGCTCAAAAAATGCTTAGTCAGTTACATTGGAACCCACATTTTCCTGGGATACTCAGTTTAGTTATCAAAGTAAGCTCATTTTTCTCTCTGCTCTCTATTGCAAGTCTTTTGTTAACTTTTACTTGTTGTGATTTATTGATGCTGTTATTGCGTTTAAACGATCGAAGATCATCTGCACTAAAATACATAGCCTAGAGTGTATTAATTTCTGTGCTGGTGTGAAAACAATATGATACATATCATGTTGAGAAATTTTACGCTTAACTCATTTTCCAGAGCAGTGGACAGTCATGTCGTCGTATTCTTCAGTTTGACAGTGGGATACACCTTCACAATATCACATAATAGACACACCACAAGTGCCATTTTTAATCCGGGCTATCTCTGAGCTGGAATTTCCTTCTAGGTGTTAGACTGCTTTCTAATTTGATTACTACACATCACGTAACTCACTAAACTTTTTTTTAAACCGCATAAAACATCTGGAGTTTGCCCTGACAAATTTGACTTCTCCACTAGGAAATGTTTATGACCATATTCCAAGGAACTATTTTAGCTGTTGCCCAACAGACTTTCGTAATCCATGGTTAGTTTCTTTGTCTACCTAAATTAACATTTTTTCGCCTATGGACCGTTATATTTCTTACTCCAGTAGAATTATAATAGTAGTAATAAAAGAAATCAGCAACCATGTGCAGGTTAGTGCATTAGATAATTATTAGATTTCAAACATCTAAAGATTCTCATAACGTTGAGAAAAAAGCAACAATCTGAGCGAAGAATATTCTTTTCAGTAAATTCCCATCATGTTTCACAATTGTAAAGTATATTTGTACAGCGCAGAATCAAGCCACGTCAGTGTCATATACATTTTCAAAATGGCGTGAGATTTAGAGACTGTAAGGAAATTAAGTTTTCATTCTTAAATTTATCAATATTGAAATGACATATACTCAGATGAATAATCTGGTGCCGAACGAAAAGACAGTGAATAACGAAGACAGAAGTGGCCTATAGTTTGCTGAAAGCCAAGGGAGGAATAACGTTTGAACACGATCTTTCTGAATGTACAGTTCGGGTTCAATCAACCTTGTGGCGACAATCCTAGCAGACGTTAGCGAGCTAAACGTAGTATTGTTTTTCGAATACGATGAACGATATTGAAAGCTTCATTAGCAACTGTGTGATGCAACTCCATATTGGCAATGTGTTCTTTCAATGGACCATTTTCCAATTTCGCCAGAATAACAACACATTGTGTCAGTGCTGAAAATGGGTAAAAATGGCACAGATGTGTTCACTTTTTGATGTCTTCTAAAGCTTGAACATCTCCACTTTCGTTTTCAAATTATTTCTCCATTCATACACTTGTCTGCTTTTGCATCACTCTTTTTATTCTACCCATTTATTCTTTCCGTGTTATGTTAAAATGTGGCATCTTGAACTATTGTACTTGTGTACGAGGTTCGACGTTGGTTTTGTTTGTCTCAGTGCTTCGTGTACTACCTAACTAACTACCATAATTTATGTGTGTTGGGTTCAACCCCTCGAATAAATAGTTAAAGAGAGAGTGTCCAGACTGATAAGATAGTTCAATGTCGTCATTTAGCATTATGAAAAATGGATTTATTGGAGTTGTGTTTTTCCGTGTTGATCAAATCCACTTTGAACTATTGCTAATTGATTATTTTTTATAGCGTCCAATCATAATCATATTGATATGGAGAGTAAATTGTGCCTAAAACGTCGTTAACAGACAATATTGTATCACTGACTTCTACATCGAATAAACTAATCTAATACAGAATTATTTGTCTACGCATTTTCCATTTTCTACGTTCATATTATTGTAACACTAACCCTCCACTTCTGAATCAAACGTTAGTTTTATTTGTTTATCTATTCAATAATGTAATCTAGTAGTGCACAGAAATGGACATTGAATATTTTTTAAAGTGTGCACCGAAGTTAATGAGTTAACCTCAATCGGTATCTTATATGAATGTTCATTGAATAACAATTGCAGGGTTAAGAACTTCAACAGTAGTGTAATTCGTTTTTACTATGTGGTATTTCTGGTTAAATGCAATAAAATAAACTTGTATACTGTTTATAGCGCCAAATAACACCGGGTAATATTACTAAGATGAATTTCTTAAGAAATGTTACTTTCGTTCTTTTATTACCAACTGCTTTGAATTACGCCATCTTTTTAACGAACGTAGTAATATATATTTCTTTTTACACAACACTTTGTTTCCAAGTTTTTATGTCCTAATTTCCTTCATCTGTACAGGGTTGTTCTTCACCAAATCTAGTGGACCAAGCTTGCCGTTTACTCATAATATTAATCCCATTCCTTACTCATCCTTTGGTAGTACCGTATGGACGTATGGGTATACCGATTCAAATATCATTTCCTATTGTTTTGCTTACTCTAATGCCAATGTTAATTACGGCATGGGATGAAGATCCATCTACAGCGGTTCCAATCAATCCGTATGATGCAAATTCTGAACAAATTAGCTTTCTACAAGGTGGCTTTCTAGGTCGGGGTGTTTGTGGATCACTGAATGTTATCCCTCGAGCGCTTGGTTCATGGACGTCGTGCTCTTATACCCCACATACTTCATTTTCAAACTCAACTTCAAGTCTAGTATCAAATTTGAAAATGAGAACGGATAGTATAGGACTTTTGGTAACTGTTCATCAAATGGCGTTTTCAGTGTAACTGAATCAACGTCAAATTTAAATACAATAAGCACAGGAAATAATAACCGTGATGCAAATTCAATTCCTAAATCACCTGTTCTACGGCCGAAAAATCCCGTTTGCATTCAGGTGTGTATATATATATCTTGTAGATATTATTTAAGTCTTTGTTATATACTACTCACGGTAGTCTATAGTGATTGAACGATTCGGTCTAGCAAACGGCGGGTCAATATAAATTATAACATTATATCGTATCATACTTTGTTAACAGACTGAAGTAGTTTTTGCTCGAATGATGACCGAAAATAAAGATAAATTCGATGAGTGTTTCTTTTTATTTATTTTGATGGTTTTCAGCGGTACTCAATTACCAAAGCATTTGGCGAAGGGACCTAGGAATGTCAAACCTTTAAATAATTAACACAGATTCTAGTAGTTTACAAATAACTGTTAATATGGTGGAACTCATTTTCTACTATATATGTTAATTAGAGTTAGGGAAATATTGTGATCTCTGAACAAACAACCACTGAAGTCAGTAATAGTTGTTTACAGGATATTTAACAATAAATGGCAACGAAACAAGCGAAACTTCGCTTTCCTTTTTTATTTGTGTTCAGATTATTTTTCTTGATATCAACATTGTTATTTAGGTTATTTATTAATGAGATTGGTTTTGCCAGCGTACAGTATGCTTCCGGAAAAACGCCAATCCTCATTAGTGTTAAAACGAAATGTTGTGAAATAAATTTATTGTCATCAGTAAACTTTTTTTAGAAATACAGGAGAACAATCCCGTGTTTAATCATATATATGTCAAATAGTAATAATAATGGCTTTATTCTGAAAGGTATTTCGGTAATACTGTGCATAATAATCTGCATCAATTGAAGAGAGACGGTGCATAGGTATCCATGATAAAATAAAGTATAAATTACATATAAAAGATAAGAATATTTTGCTCCATCTACAACTTTTTTGAAAACCCAGAGTTAACTTAGGTGGACAGTTACATCACCAATTAGATTGATTATACTTAGTAACAGCAAGCTGTGCAATCTTTGTTTAGTTTGCTTTCAAAAGCCAAAGTTGATTAGTTAGTTCATCTCTACTACCTTCTTCCTCGCACAGAATATGAGTTAATTACAACATTGTAAAGTTTTTATATTTAGTAGTACGTGCATAAATTTATTATATATATATATATATATATATATATATATATATATATATATATAAACAGGCTAGTTTTCATATACTTAAGGCTATTTTCGTATTTTTTTTTGTTGCTTTCTACTGTTATAGGCTGCTGAATCACTTGCTCAAGCTGCACTAAAAATAGATCCAGTTCTGTTTAATAATTTAGCACTCATACTTCGACTGTACGCCTGTGGTAATTTTTCGAAGGATGTTGATCAGTGGAGTAAATGTGTTATATGTTATCTGTTAGAAGGTTGTGGATCAAATACACCACGTATGCTGAAGCACATTAATATGGTGAGTTCACTCTCCATTTGTCTACATGCTCACTACTAAACTTTAAATCCCTTCGTTAGAATTGAATAAATTGAGTAGATTCTTGATCAAATACCGTGAACAGAAATATACTCGTAATACTTCACCTTCTTGGCATACTACACTAGAGGTGATGTTCAAATAGATTTTGAAATGTTTTCCTATGCAAAATGAGTTTCAGGGTTATTATCTTATACTGGTCCGCTTAAAATATCATATACTGGTTTTAGTATTTACTGCTTGCAGCTTTTATACCCTCATTATCTACGATACTAAGTTATAAATTCCAAAGTTATGTTGAATCACGTTAAGCTGATTCATTGGTCCCAGTGCTGGATACTTGATATGAAAGTTAGCCACCACATTTTCGGCTTCGTAATAGACTAGGAATACCTTAAACATCTGGGGGTTCATCGCAATCTTTATGTATTGCATTTTGATTTTTTTATACTCCGTGTTGCAGTGTCGATTTCTGATGGAAATGTTTAGACCGGATTGTCATACGGTAATTGAGTTCAAAAAACCAGTTACCGGTCATCACGCATTATGTTTATTTTACATCGGTCAGTGTGATTTTTGTGTACCTCGATATGTCATCTTTTCATAGGAGCAGTTGGCTTTCAAAATATTTATTTGGTTGAGCGGTTTCCTATGAATTATTTTAAAAATGGGTTGTTGAAAATTCCGCAAATCTTGAGTTCAAACTTGAGCAAGATTCTTGAATTGGAACAGGCTTTTAGGCTTATGCTTGAATAAACTATCCCATAATCAGGTCTCAGCTAACTGACCGCCCAGTTCTTTTGTCTTTTTATTCGTGTAAATCCTTCACTCTTTGTATGCTTGTCAAGTGATGCTGAGCCCATGAAAACATTTCGGCTAAATTTGCCTACGTAAAAGTTTGTGTATCAGTGGTGGACTAAATCGTATTCACCGTCATTATCATACATTTCTAGGGTAGAAAATGGTTTTTGAAATTTGATGTACTCATCAAAGGTGTAAGTATTGGACGTGAAATTATTGACTAAACTAATTGTTGAAGTTTTTTTTGGATCAACTGCTATATCATATATGCTGTATCCCTTAGAAACGTAGAGTCTGTATAACGATCGATCGTTGAGTTGCTGAATTTCGGACCTCTCATAAAAGCTGGAATATCGGAAAATGGGCTTCATTGAAGCCCTACTCATATAAAATTTTAAGGGTCCTTTATTTCCTGTTCGAAATCATCACTAAGACTAATATGTGATGAAAAAGATTTATGGTGCAAATGCATCAGGTATTTATGGGTCTTTCTTTGACTTATTCAAGGAACTAGCACGAAGAAATCGAATGTCGGTGACTATCGCTGAAAAAATGGTTTATCAATACACTTCGGGACAGGTGGCTTAAACAATTTAAAGAATAGCCCAACTGCCTCATGGTCATGCTCTAGTTGCGCGAAATTCAGTCCGAACTTGAATGGAATGTGAAAGTCATTTCTTAACTATTTCAAAGGTTGAGAGCACTGTAGGTAATCCGAAGCGGTTTGTTACATCGTGATCTGGCGATTCGCCATCAGAAGTTTGTGAGGATAGAAGTAGAAAATCACCCAGTAGTGTAGTGGAGATATGGCGAGTCTATCAGACTACTGGTCCATATTGCTGATAATGTCAGTTCATAAAGACTGTAGGAAGCCTTCATGTGACAAATACAGAGGAATGAGTTTGACTTACATCGTATCTAAAATAATAGGGTCTTTTGTTATCCGATACCGATAACGATGAAATCGATGAGGTCAGATGAGTTTCGGACCTGAACAAGAGTCTATCGATCAAATTTTCACCATTTGACAAGTTTTGGAACAAAAGCATAAGAGGTACCGAGCTAGTACGTTGTACTTATTTGATGGTCTCTGCTTTAACTCATGTAGCGGTGTATGGGCCTATTCAGTTGTCGTTTGAAGTAAAAACGACAAGTGATGATCGCTGGGAATGCCAACTTCCGTCATTCTTATTTAATGATGTACGTGACCTTAGGTACATCTGACTTTTAAGGGATTTTTTCACTCCTAAATGATTTATAATTTAAGACTCAGATCGTCTTTTGAAGCAGTGTAGGTGAGTGAACTGCATAACTTTCGTTTATACTTTCAGAAACAGGTTTTCTTCCATTTCAGCTGTTAGTTTCTGGACCACCATGTCTTCAGTTGCCTTTACTCAAAGTTGCCCATTTGTTATTACAACAAGCCGATATCAACCAAGCGGATTTGGAGTTTTCGTTACAAAATTTTATTGCATCAGTTGTCAGTCAGTTTCTTAGAGTAAGTCAGACAATTGTTTCCTTGACTTTTGCTAACCTTGTTTACTCAGTTGAATGGAATAAAATACCTAATATGTGGTATGTAGCAGATGTAGCACAAGTATTCGGTTTTCGAAAGGCGAATAACCAAAGGTGACTTAAATCCGTTACTTTATTTTGAATCGAATTTCAAGAATATTTAGTCACTTCTCCAGGTAAAAGCAAATTTAAAAATATTATTTTTATGGTAGATGAAACTAACTTTTATGTGTAGTCGTAGTTACTAAACATAGTGTTTAATGTTGCTACTTCTATTATCCCGTCGTTGAGTGGACCCAATCGACCAGTCTGTATTGGCATATGGGCTCCTGTGTGGATGCCTTGATATTGCCTGTGTTTCAATTAAATATTCTTGATGGATAGTGGTTAGCAGTGGGATCTAGGACTCACGTTTCGTCCAATTCGGGACTGTCCATCATGAATGTATAATTGAAACACAGGGAATATCGAGGCATCCACGCAAGAGCCAATATACCAATAGAGACCGATCAATTCGGTGCAATCCACGATGGGATAATAAAAGCAACAGCATCTGTCGCACAAGAAGTGGTTATTGTGGCTCGGTGGTCTAGTGGATAACGCTCTGGCGTTTGAAGCAATCGGTCTTGAGTTTGAGTCCCACTGGGAACCAGGTACATTCAGCTGACGAGTCCCAAATAGGACGAATGACACGTCCTGGATCCCATTGCTAGCCACTATGTATCATGAATATAGGATGTTTAATGGGTCTGTTTGAGTTATTTAATCCCGCTACCTTTTTTAACGACCTTGTTTTTATCACTGTGACTTAACTATTTCTTCGCAGCTGTTGTTTGACTAGCAGTTTGAATCAGGTTATTCTCACAGTAGCCATCTATAAACTGCTGTATGTTCAAGAGAAATATTTATGTTTTCCTTCTTTTTTCACACATTAACTTCTCTGAATCAACCTTCGTATAATTCGCTTTTGATTCTCTCCTTTTTATGTCAGACTAATTTGTGGTCCTACGTGATTCCGATCTTGCAAGTCACTGTTTCCCGTTCATCTGTGCTGACATCTGTTCCAGAAACTCCTGCCTATGCGTTACCTGGTTTGGATCCTTCAGGAAGCGGTCGTATTTTGGACTACGCAGTAGCAGCCGCAGCTGTGGCTGTCCCACTTCCGGAAAGTGAACCTCCTAGACTAGAACTTGCTGGTCCTGTCTTAGACTTTACCTTTGATGTTTTTCAGGAAGCACCATTACTAGCTCCTGAATATGCTCCGAACTCTTCTTCACAAATAACTCCAGAAAACGCCCCAAAACTAGATGGTACAGTCTGTGATCTGCCTCCATTGAAGGGAAACAAAAGAGATTTTAACGATGTCAGCGATATTGGGTTAGTTGAAACATTTGTCTCAGCTTCTGGTACATGGAATAAACCAGGAACTGTCAGGTATTTGTGACTTCTTTTACCTTATTCCAATTAAATGGTTACTGTATTTCTTAATGCATGAAATTTTCTAGGTGTTTACCTTTTTACATTTCTGTTTCCATGATCCTAATTTCATTTGAATTCCCTTGAATTGAAGTTACTTCGATTAGTTACCCTTAATATTGCAGGCCTGGAATGCTATTTTCGGCATGCAGTTTAAATGGTCTTTTTCATGTTGAACACGTGCAGGCCACAAGGGAACAATTAAACAACATAGGACTTTACAGTGTTACACGATTTCACTTTGCCAAACTTAACATCAGATATTGAAACCAATGGTTAAACTTAGTCAAGTGAGTGAATACCAGAAAAATAAGGGTTTTAAGAGTTTAGAAGGTAAAAGGTGTTCGTACTTATATATTATCATTGGGGATTTCGAGCAATGTCACCCTATAAGTCTTTCACATATTTTGTGGAACATAACCTGGAAGCCAGCGTTCTCATATAGGATTTAAATCCAAAAGTCAGCAACTGTTACGATTTCGTGATTTGGTCACGACACATCAAAGTAGGCATATCCGCTGGCCTACTAATAGTTTCACTTTACTCGCTTAAAACTCCGTCAAATGAACATTTCTCATTTTTTCAAAAGTGATGTTCCCGCTTCAGTAGAACTATTTCATCATCAGTATCATAACTAGCATTTTCAGTATAGAAACTGTTATTCTTTGTATGTGTTAGACGTCAAAGTAACCATACCCCGACTTTCTATACATCCACCAACAATTGTACTGAGGTTTGTTTTTGTGTCTTTATGACAAAGTTACTTGTATTAAAATTAATGGTATTTAACCGTGAAAAACAGTTCTTATTCTTTGATTTTATGAGACTGCTCTAGGTAGAAATGAAAATCCCAGCTTTTGATGTTAAGATTTGGCTGATAACAAGCCCTTGACCTGAGTAAGGTGTTTATTGTACCCATTAGCAAGAAAATGGTGTTACCCAGATGATTCATTACTGAAGATGTTGACTTTACTACTTAACTGTTTAGGTCATCACTGACTCTATGTTTAACTGGATTATTCACATAGTTCAGTCACAAGTCGGTTACCAATGTAATTGTCAAGTTCGAAGTGCTCAGTATTGACTGATCGAAGTTTATAGGTGACTTTAAAGGCCACTTTAGCATCGACAGAAATAACCAATTAGGTTTCTCCATTTCGGCTGGAAAGAGATTTTCATAAAAAAGCGAAGTCTGATTGGTTATTTCATTTGTTGCTAGGATGACCTTTAAAGTTATTCAAGTTTATCGATCACGTTTACAATGGGGCCACTAAGCTAAGTTATGCCACATTCAAGCTTGATAACTTTTAAGGGATGAATATTTTACGATCCTTAGATTGATCTGTTGCTACTTCTGAGTGATTTTCGTTCGCAAAAAATACTTATATGTAGGAAGATACGTGACTGCCGTATAATTTGTTGACTATTAAAACTGATGGTGCTGAACTGCCGTGCTATTACGCTTCGAACTGCTTTAGATTTCTGATACCTATATTGATACCACTTTGTTATACAAATTATTCTTTTTATCTGTTAAAGTTGGTGAATCTCTAAACTTATCCTAATGTTTTTGGTTTTGTTTCCCAGTGGTTTCTTGCAGTTTCTTTCAAGTAAAATACACATTTTTCAGTTTTTCTTAACAACCTGTTCACTTCTATATAGTAATTCTTGAAAATTCACTTACTTTTTTAATCAGATGTAAACTTTCTTACTAACCTAACACTGAATCCTAACCGGTTGTAGACACAAATACTTTCTGAGTGCTCTTAAGATTTTTTCACATTGCTCTGAGAAAATTTGATAGAAGATTGCAGATCTGACTTCTCTGAAATTATTGTCTCGGTTAATTTGCAGGTTAAGAAATTTATCTAGCGATTTGTGAACCTTTTTAAACGTCCTTGTATCCTTACTTAGGCGATTCTCAGGCATTCTGAAGAGACAATTTCCTATTTTGAGGACTCTTTCTGTCATCCCTATTTAATTTCACTTTTTATTTTCCACTTACTAAATTTGTAAAAGGAGTTTCTACATATTTTCCCTTTTTCAGTCTCGTTTGCGTGAAAAGCTTTATCGTTTGGTTGGATGCTTTGGTTTACCCACGCAGCAGTGTATTAGTGCTCCGAGAAGCCCATCGGTAAACGACTTTATGATTACATGTCTTCTCATTTATTTTTTGGTGCCAGTACTTTTGTAAATCTACTTCCTTTAAAGATTCAACGTTCATAAATCCAGCTAGTTAGGGTGGCAGTATAACGAATCCATAGACATCTTTTTATGTATTCAGTTTAGTTAAATTAATTTGAAGGAGTCAGATATGCTTTTTTACAAGACAGTAACCATAGACTTTAGTTGTAGACACTCGTCATACAATTGGTTTTGCCAAACTAATCACTGTACACTTTTGACGATACTTTCATCAATGCAGTAAATGTAAATCAAATACTTTTTTTTGTTAGTCAAAACAAAGCTAAAACGAATTCCTAAAACCTTGGCAGACGTTCAGAGATTCGAAAACAGCTGAGCGATTGCTTAGCATCCACAAAATTAGTTTCGATGAAACTCAAATTATGCGAAAACATTTCGTGTCATACAAAGGAGAATTGACCGCTACATCCCTACGCATATGAATAAATACGACCCTTTTGAATAGGAAAGATAGTATGCAGTTGGCTGAACTCTAATCACTTTTGATTGACAAAAGATGAAAAAACATAGTGTTTAATCCATTTGTTTCACCAAGCTTTATATTTTGTACTGACATTATCATGATATTCGAAAATCAATGCTCTTTGAACATTATTTTTTTGCTGCGTTCAAAAGGCGCTGAAACCGACCTATATCAGCATCATTTCTGTTTGCTTATGAAGCTACAGGTAGAAATTATGTGCATATATGTCAGTTGACCGTAGGTGATCTACTGGAAGTCCTGAACCTAGGTTTCATATTCGTTGGCACTCGTCATCAAGGCGTATCTGCAACCTCGAGGGAACTGATATCTCCTCTGAAATTCTAACCCACGTCATCTAGTGTTGTAGCCAGCAACGTTACCAGTGAGCAATTCGGGCCACGATTGACCTCCTAAAGGACGGGATTACATACATTGATTTTTTCACGGGAGAGCAACCAATTTCATGTCTAGTGCTGAGTGCTGACCGAATCTTACCGATCATTTTGCAATATGGCCATCACGCTAGCTGACTCAGCATCGCGGTGCACTTGGCTAGATGTCAGTTGATTGCACCGCAATGATGAACCTCCTAGCTTGGCTGCCAGATTGCAAAATGATCAGCAGAGTTTGGTCAACATTCAAGACTAGACAACATAAAATTGGCTGCTCTCCCGTGACCATCTGTTTTGCACTACTTTGGGATTCCTTAGCAGTGCATATATGCGATGAATAAGTCTTTACAAGCCATCAGGTGAATCACTTTTCAGTCCTCATTAATACGCTGCTCCTAAATGGATTTTCCAAAATCCTAGTGAGAAGTCGTGACCTGAGGGATCAAGCAACTTGCGAACGAGTCGGATTTCCACCAGTGGCACTGGATGATGGCCGTACTATACCGCGATTTGATCTCTTGTCGGACCGTGAGTTCACATTACTAAGAAGGGTTATTACCAATGATTCACATTACAATTATATCTCTGACTAAGATGAATCAGCTGTCCAATACGCGTAGGTTTTCCATGGCTCTCCAACTGACTTTAATCCATAGTAAAAAATACTTTTACCTATTTATTCCCACGAATGAGCATGAACTAGGCGAAACATAGATTTTTTAAAAATTTCCTGAGATTTGTATCTAGTTTTTTTTTATAATCTAGTGCCAACTATTTATAAAAACCATTCGGTCAAATCTTGACTTTAGTTCATATTAGTAAAATAAGAATCTCCTTCTATATGATGTCTTCAAATTAGTGTGAATTCAGATATCGCTAATAGTCCGGTAATTGCTAAGTCTTTTAGAACTTATTCTTTCAACCATTGTATGCAGAAATTCGTTACAGGATGAATGTCGAGTATGTTTTTAGGTTCCATCACTCCTGTAAATCAACTGTATTTTTTTGTGACTTGTTTGATCACCTGAAAATTGATAACATGGCACCGTAGCTTATCATCACGTTCCATTTTTTTCGTTCTATGTGCAGTTTAAATACTTACCCTTAGTTTACAGCATTCTTTTGGTCATTCGTTTAAAAATAGTGTCTATACTGTAGTACATAATTCGGAATTCTAAGATGCACTCTACTGAAAAGTTTTGTAAAATGTCTATCCAGCGGTCACTGGTTTCTAGTGTTCCGTACACTTTTGGATATTTTCTTGAGAACATTCTTACATTCTGCTAGTCATGAGGTGAATGGTATAATAACTGGCTTTTTTATTCAGTGATGTTAATATTAGTATACTTTTCACTTTCATCGTACCTAACATGTTATCTATATATATCTGAGTAGTTTCGTGTAAATGCAGGTATTTTGTTTTTGGATTTTCATCTTTCAAACAACTTTTATGTGTTTTCTTTTTTGGCTATTAAATAGGTTATCTTCAGTCAATCCACTGAAACTTTGGATCCTCAGCTAAGCGTGCATTCTAGTAGTGAAACAACTTCCGTTATCGATATTAGTAATTCAGGTATGTATGATAATTTTCTTTCGCTTTATATTTGTGCACTTTACGTTTCTCTCTTTTGTATTTCGTTAATTATTGTTTACATCGCTACTTCATTCTTCTTCTTGCTGTCATACTTTTTTTCTATTTGGCTGCCTTTCATTATCTGCTTTTGTCTTTTCACTGTTCAACGCATGGCGATTTGGACCGATGCACTTCTGTACAAGGTTGTAGCTTGTACTGTTTACCTTTTTAACAATCACAAAGTTTATAACAATCGGACTAGCTATTAAAATTGACAGCTAGTGTCGTATTGTAGACATAAATGGGCACACATATTCACTAAATGAAAAGATATCTATAGTTTATTCATTATACGTGCTGACATAAATACAGTTAAGCAAAGCCCTAGGTGATTGGAGTGAAATTAAGATCTGGTTTTTGTAGTTCACCTCCGATCACTACTCAGTATGAATAATAATGCAAGTCTGCCAATCTACAGCTATCTTAGATAGTCAAACTGATGAAGAAATATTTCCATTGAAAGGTCTGTGTGAAAAACCTGTTATAAAAAATTGATGTGCACCAGGGAAATATTGAAAGAAACAAGATAAAATGCATAAGTGAGTAAACGCATTTGCGCTAGTTAAATTGATTGGAAAAGTACTTGAATAAATGACTTCTAACATCTCAAGACGGACCACCAGTTACTGAATTCTCTTGTTCATCCTTAGGCTTGACTTACATGGACTTCCGTTGTCAGTCACTTAATTTTATTTATTCTGCAATGTAAAATCCATCTTTGACAAAGTAGTTTAGAGAATTATTTGGGGGAAAAACAGAAATAATTAGACACTGGCAAGAAGTACAAATTTGGTTTTTCTTTTCGTTTTACTCATAATTTTCTTTCTAAGGCCTAAGCAGTTTTGTAATTATTCTCTTTTTTTTAACAGATGATATTCGTCTGGATGATACAAGCAGTGGTGAACAAACTGCTGTATTCCGAGATCTGGATACTTACTTGGATGCTCAGTTAATGAATATTAACTTTTTAGGTGTTCCAGATTGTAGATTGGTAAGTTACAGTACATATTTGCCTAGCTACGCTTTCTTCAAAAGAGGTTGGATATATATATATATATATATATATATATATATATATATATATATATATATATATATATATATATATATATATATATATATATATAACTTTCGTAGCAAGTAGCTTATCATTTGCCCCGTGGTTTCGAATTCCGTAGTTCACATTTTCTAGTATTATTCAACTCTCGATGTAGCAAAACCGTTATCTGATGTCATCATTACTACCAAATTTGTTAACCTGAAACGTTATGGCCTCCTAATATTACTTCGCCTAATTAACTAGTTAACTAGTTACTCGCTGGTCCTAAGCCCGGATAACGAGGGAAGGTTGGTCATAGGGCTAGCAACCCTACCCTCTAAAACCAATACAATCGCTAAATAAACTTCAAAACACAAAGAAATTGTAAAAAATAGAAACAAACTTATTCCTCGCTGGAATCGGGGAGAAGAAATGACGCTGGTTGGTGAAAGCCTTCCAGAAGCCAATTGGCCGATGTGTCTTCTCTTTCTCGAAGAAAGCGAAAGTAAACGTGGGGACATGGAATGTCCGCATCATGTATAAACCTACCAAGGCAGCCCACATTGCAAACAAGATGAGGAGGTATCACATTGAAGTGCTTGGAATTTGCGAAAGCAGATGGAATGGGAGTGGACTCTCCAAACTGTCAACTGGCGAGTCAATAATCTACTCCGATATTGTCATCCAGACGACAACCACGAGCACAGCACACTGAGTTTTCGAGTGGCTATCATGATGTCCCCTTGAAGAGCATCGAAGGCTTTCAAGCAGTCGGAACCAATCTCCTCCAGGATCATGACAGCAAGATTCAACTCAAAAGGAAGGAAGGTCACAACCATACAGTGCTACGCTACTCACCTACAAATAATGCAGATGAAGAGAAGAAGGAGGAATTCTACAGACAACTTCAATCAGTACTAGACAAGACTCCAGTTGGCGACATCAAAAGTCTAATGGGTGACATGAATGCCACACTAGGAGCGGACAACACAGAAAGAGAACAGAACTCATCATAGGTCGAGAAGCGCTAGGTGAAATGAATGAGAATGGAGAACTGTTTGCAGACTTCTGCGCATTCAACGATTTGGTGATTGGAGTCAGGCAGTGTGTACTAACACACATAAGGATATTGACAAGGCAGCGACATGGACTTGATTTCACCGGACACCAGGACACACTACACTGAAAATCAGATCGACTTCACCTGAATATGAAGGAAGTGGAGACGCAGCCTACTGGACTGGACACAAGGTGAAGAAGAGGAGCTGATGTAGGTTCAGACCACTGACTATCTAGTGCAAAGAACCTACCTTCGAAATCAAGTTGAAAGCCTTCAAAGAAACTGGTGATAGACAACCCTAGATCAAGTTCAACACCCACCTAGAACAGAAACTGAAGGACGAAACTACAAAGGACATCTTCACGTCAGCCATGGGAGATATTGAGCAACATCCCCGAAGAAACATGCATGGAAGAACACTGGAACTCTTTGAAAGAGATATGGAAAGAAATCTGCATAACTGTATTCGGAAGGAAGAAGAAGGAAGACAAGGAATGGATCTCGACGGACACATGGAAGCTAATATAGGAGGGAGAGGAAGGTGGTGAAACAGAAGATGAACCGGTGCAGTGTAGGAATGCACAACGAAAAGAAGAACTAACTACAGCGTATAAAACAGTACAATGGATAAAGAGATGAAGAAGAGTGCACGGAAAGACAAAACACACTTCTACGACACACTGCCAAGTGAAGCAGAACAGGCTGCAGGTAGGAGAGACAGAGACCCGACAACACTATATCAAATAACCAGGTTACTATCAGGGAGGAGAGAGATCAACGCAGACGAAACCAATGGAAGATAGTGAAGGAAACTTAGTTACTGGGGGGAGAGAGGAGAAACAAAGGAAACGATAGGCTGACCACCTCGAAAAACTTTTGAATCGACCACCACCACCACCTGCAACTCGTCCAGAAATACCGTCAGCAGCCCAGCCGTAGAATTACCAGTGAACCCAAGCCCTCCGACAAAGACAGAAGTGAATTCCTTAATGCCATAAAGTTTCTGATATCCGGGAAAACAGCAGGACCAGATGGGATTATTCCAGAAGCACTGAAAACAGACAGAGACGACAGCGGCTGACATGTTCACACCACCACTGCCGAAGGTTTGCAAGGAAGGAAGGAAGGAAGGGAAGGTACCTACAGATCGATTAAAAGAAGGACCGCCTTGTTCAGCTTCCGAAGAACGGCGACCTGAGCCTTTGCAAGAACTGACAAGATATCATGCTCCACCGCTGTCCACCGCAAGCAAAATATTAAGCCACATCATCTTAGAGAGACTAGAAAAATGCTCTGCCTTCAAAATTACGACCGGAACAGGTTGGTTGGCTGACTGGCTGACGCCAGGAAGAAAAAATCATGTGCGGACCAAATTGTAACGCTACCCTGCGCTATAAATCATCATAGAACAGAGTATAGAATAACAGTCAACTCAACTCAACTCAACCCCAACTTCATCGACTTTGTAAAGGCCTTCGACAGCATCGAAAGAGAAGTAATTTGTCAGGCAGCTGCTTCTACACTACGATTTTAGTGCCACAAACATTTATCAACCTCATTCAACAGCAGCTATATGCTATACAATGCTACATGCCAAGTGATTCACGATGGAAAGCTCAGTGACGCCTCTGAAGTGAAAACAGGAGTAAGACAAGACAAGACAAGAGTGTCTACTATCACGGATCATCTTCCTGATTGTGGTCGACTGCATCATGATCATGATGATGCAACAAACTGTGAGGAGCGAGAAGAGGGACATACGCTGGCTGGACTGATGTAAAGACTCCAGAGGGAGATTTGGATTTCACCGACGATGATTCATGTCTAATGTCTTGTCGCACAAACTCGAAGATCTACAGGCAAAAAGCAACAAGTTGAGAGGAGAGGTGGGTCAGCGAAGACGGGACTTCTTTCAGGTGGATGTAGAGAAGACAGAGGTGATGAAGGTGCCCAACCAACAACATCATCAACAAGAAGAGGTACCAATCACTATCAACTTGAGAAACCTAAAGGGAGTAGTCTCTTTCACCTTACCGTCCTAGGCAGCATCGTTTCAACTACAGGTGGCGTCGGCACAGACGAGGGTATCGAAACCAGGATTGGAAAGACAGCAAGACAGGCTTTCATCAATCTGAAATCAGTGTACAGATCTACTGCACTGCACTGCACTCCACTCAGCAGAAAGCCGGAATGAGATCCGGATTTTCAACACCAATGTCAGTCAAGTCAGTGCTGCTATATGGTTCAGAGACTTGACGCATCACGAAAAGCATTTCCAACAAACTACAAACATTCATCAACACCCACCGTCTACGCTCACTCGACACTGAATATGGAGATCAGATGGCCGGAATACTAAGAATAAGCAACAAGGAACTCTGGCTGGCTGGCTGGCTGGCTGGTTGGCAGGCTGGCAACGAACCAACCAAGAAGCCATCGTCCTACAAATATGCAGAAGAAAGTGGAGATGGGTTGGATTGAGCATACACTGAGAAGACCGATTGGGGACATCACCCGGCAGGCCGAGCCCTTGAGTGGAAGGCGAATAGGAAACGACGAGTTGGGTGTCCGAGGTGAAGGTGACATGGAGGAGATGGTGTGAGGAAGAAATGAAAGCTTGTGGGCAGTCGTGAAGCGAGGTTGAAAAGACTGCAGAGAAGAGAGTGCAAAGGAGGCGTGTTACTGGAGCTTTATGTTCCACTAGGAACCCAAGGGAATAATAATATTACTTCCAAATTCAGTGTTCAGCGAATCACTGAGAACAACTACATGATTTGACTGAATAGTTTACGAATATCTATTGAATTGACGATAATTCTTCTTACCACCAGATTATTAAGCTCAACTGAAGAATCACAATAAATAATTAGCACAGAATATTTAATTCGTTTCATTTGAAGACTGTTTATTCGTGCGATTTGACAGTGAAAACGAAAACTGAGACACAAGCAAACACCTTGAAACTGGATTACGAGAGACTTTAAGTCGAAAGCAAGATGGTTTACACTTGATAGGATTTTGAATATTAGGAGGAAATGTGAATGTATATCTAATATATCCATCCACCTTGTTTTGTATTATCAGGTAGCAACTTCTCACTTGAGAATATTGGAAAATACTTCCACTGCATAATGTAATCCGTGTTGACATCTGGTGATATATGTCGCGCATATCACAGCCACCTTAGTTGGTGCAGGTTAAAAATAAACTTGATAACTTTACTAGAAACAGTTGAAAATTAGTTCCTATTTTACATGTTAGTGATATTTATTTTTTGCCTGTTTGGTAGAATAATGATTTCAGTATCACATTTTTAAAACGACTTGTTTTTTGTCATTCATAACTTTTGTATTGCTCTTTACCTGCCAATAATAATGCACCAATTTTCTTTGTCTATATTGCTTTTCAGGCATCGACAAGCGTGAGTTCCTAAATTATATATATATATACATATATATAAATTCAGAGCAGAAACCTTTGGAATACTACAGAATTTATGCTGTATCTAATTCCTCTTTCAATGATTCAGTTTCATACTAAGACGGTTTTTCCCTAGGAATCGATGTAAACTTCATTTACGGATAAGGATTAAGGTTGAAAAAAAAGCTTCAGTAGCTATCGCATTACAACTTCATTGTATAAATTAGACAAAGTTTAGAAATATTTTGAAGTGATTAATCTCCTAATGCTTATAATCTGATAAGTTTAACAGCTATTTTACTTTCAAAAGTAGTAAAATTTTTGTGAAACGTAAGTTATGATTACAGAGACTACCATTTCTAATATATTTTTATCAGATATACTAGCATATAGCAACGACATAAATCATAGGTTGGTATCATTAGAGTAATCACTGAAACATTAAAGAGATGGAGCAATTATCGCAGCCGATTTCAAAATCTTAGAGTAACTACTTATAGGTTTAGACATGACTTGCAAATCATAAATACATTCTGTGTTCAGAAAGTACTTCGATTTTTAAGGTTTTGACCATTGTTTAGTACCATAAACGCTAACATAATAGAATTAACTCATCCAAGCATGATCGTGTAACGGGCACAATGCAAACTTTTTGAGAGGAGTAAAGTACAATTTTTGAATTTTTTTTCCGTAGAATTTACTCTTCATTTTCATTTTATTTTAGGCTTCAATGAGTGTAAGTTAAATTTCTGTTTCATTTTGTTACCTAATGTCAATAAGTGTTATTATTGCTAGTTAAAACTACCTTTAAGTAGAGCAGTGGCTCAGTGGTTTGAAATGACTACCAACCAGTGGGTCACAAGTTCGAACCCCGCCTCACCTACTGGGGTTTGAGCAACCAGGTAGTATCACTAGCGCTCATACAATAAATGTAGTTCATTGCCTACATTTAAGCGCTGAGCTTAGATCCTCTATAGGATAATATCGAGCTACCTGATTGTGATAGGATAAGCATACTTTCTAATCTCCTAGTAAATTATGCGAAAAAATGTATTATTGAATACTACTTTTGATTTTGAATAGATTTATTATGAAGTACAAAACTTTCTGATTATATAACTACGTCAAGCGTATTCTATTTTTTATATGTGGAAGTTAACAGCCAACTTTAAATAGTAGTGTTGGTTATACAGCACATTCAAAAAATGTCCATACAGGGGTGTGTCTGTATTCAACCGGTTACTGTCTTATGAATATAATCATCATATCAATCAGAAGTGAAGTTATAAATCACATTACATATTTCCTTTCGAAATATCATTGTATATTTTAATATTCGAGTTTAACTTTAAAGTAATATTCCAAGCTCTGTAATTAACTTTGTGCACAAGAATTCATCAAAAGATATCTGTATTTCTGTCAAATTTACTGATACCAGTAAATTTTCATCGTTAACTTGATTTGCGAAAAGATTGCTATGACCTCTGTTGTCAATATGATGTTGAGACTGCCTACTTTATATTTGTTAGATAGTCGCATTGTATATAATACGAGTATGGTTGTTGTATTTGAACAACTAAATTGAAATTATAATCGTCTTTCTTGATCAAGTTATTTTTATTATATGTGATTTGCAGGAAGAAGAACCCCGGCGACCTTGGGGTGTACGAGGTCAAGCTATTACATGTCATTTTGATTTCAACGGAGATGGAAATGAGTCAGTTATGAATGAATCTTTTCCTGGATTATCACGAACACTACAGGCAGCAGAGACAACAAATTCTGTTGCACACAATGGAACAGAATCTGATTATTTAATATCTGCTTATCATCAGTCTAGAACAAACTCCTTGCCGCATTTAACTAGTCTGAGAAACAATCATTCAACTGATTTTAAACATACTGAGTCTAAAAGTTTAAATACAAATAGATACTCAACTATAACAATTAGTAACAATTATACGGATTGTAATGTGGCTGACAAACAATTAACAGAATTAAATGATGAGCGACAATTGCAGTTAGAATGCCAGAAGCCTTCGAGATCATTTATGTGGAAATCATTGACTCGAGGTGATGATACTTCCATAAAAGTAGACCATACAGGTAGTGATTACGTGAACTTGTTGTACACCACTAAAAAGGACAATATGTTTACTGGAGGGCACTTTAAAACGAAACCTAGTCGAAATTTACAAATTATAAAGCGTTCAAATGTTAACTTACGAAATTCACGCAGTGAACATGTGTCGTTCGATCTTGGTGATGAAAAGAATCAAGATGATGACGATGTTGATGGAGAGGACAGTGAATTAGAAGAAGCAGAAAGTGGTGCTGCTACTACTTGTGATAGTGTAAGGGACAGGCAGTACACACAATTTGATGGAAAACGAATTCTAGCGAACTATTCAAGCTATGAAACTTATGAGAAAATACGTAATACCTTACAGTCAGATTCGGTACACCTTCCTAGCGCTTCTGTAGTACGGTTTGCATCTACACAAGCACTAATCAGTGTTAATGGTGGTGATATTAATGATGATGAAGATGTAAATGATCTTGTTCCCAAATCTAGACGAAATATTTACCTCCCTCGATCTTACTTAGCCTATCAGAATGAATTAACAATGCAAGATAAAACACTTAGACAGCTTACTCAGGAATCAGGTCAGTCCAGCATTACTCATCGTCCTCATTGTATAAACAGGGTGGAGGATTCTGTCATGGGACAAATGAAACGCTCTGCATCAGCATCTGTGTTATTAGCCAATAAATATTATGCAGTAAGTGAATCAAGTTGTGATAAATCGTTGGTCAGTCCACTTTTACTATCACCTGTAAGTTATCAAAATGAAGCAGATTGCCGGGTAGATGTAAATAATCATACTCAATATTCATCATTGTCATCATCAAGGTCAGTGTCACCGTCATTTAGTTCTCATGCTGAGTTCAAACTACCAGTACTGGATAATAATCAATATGATGATGATAATCCTACTGCTACGGTGAAAGCTGTCTCCTCATGGCCATATTCCTGTTCACTGGTATCACCTCAATCAGTTCCACTTTCATCATCACTGTCGGTATCATCATCGTCATCGGCAGCAACATCTGTACATAGTTCTCAAGCATCAGTGTATTATATTTCATCATGTGGAAAAATTAAAAAGGCGAATTGGATTCTTTCCGGTATCAATAAAAAGCATAAATCAACAAGTGATTTAAGTGTAAACTGCAGTCATAAAAAATAATATGTGCACGTAGACAGCACCACCATCAACAACAACAACTGTCCCGGCGACACAGTAATCATCAACAGCATAAAAGGCATTCACATATGACCGAAAACACTGAAAACTGTGGTTCATCTGCTTGTACCTCGTTAAACAAGATATTATCCGTTCAGTCATCAACAAGACCATACAATTGGAAATATCCAGTGAGTTAGTTGTGTGAATAAATTGTTGTCCAGGTAATGTTTTTTTTCCAAAACTAATACTGTTCTCGGTATATATATGATATTACTCCATAAGTCGCTGGAAATCCATAGTTGCTGTTCCTTATTTTATCCTCAAAATTATTGCACATTGAACTTCACACTGTTAACTATTGGACGGCAATCGGTAGAAAGCCTACTAACATCAAAATAGAGTGCACCAAAATGTTGCATCACTTAGCTTAGTGGTCACGTTTCGAAAACTGATCAATAAACTTCGATCAGCACTCTAAGCATTAAGGGCTAAAAAGGTACATTGGTTATCCACTGGTGACCAAGTTGTACAGTTCATGTTGCTTTTCATTTCTGAATTTTGATAGGATTATATCAATGACTGCAAGTACAACTTTTCCAATAGTGTTCGCAGTTTTTGGTGACTAGGTAAAATAATCATAATCCTATAATCGCCGGAATTTAGGAATCTTCATGTTGTCACTTATTTATATACTTGTAATTCTCCCTTGTTTTATTGGATCGAATTGTTCGACCTCTATTTGCACAACCACCTAAATTACCCTAGGTAACATTCAGGCGATATCGATGCATACGCACAGCAGCCCATATACCAATAGAGGTTGATCAATTCGGTCCAATAAAACAAGGGAGAATTACAAATATATCAATAAATAGTAATAACTGATACCCGTTGTACAAGAAGCGGCTATCGCGCCTCCGTGATAAAGTGAATAATGTCTTGGCATTTGAGACGAGGGGCATGAAGTTGGAGTCTCAGTGGGAACATCACTAACTGGGGTGCAGGTACATCCAGCTGATGAGTCCTGAATAGGACGAAATGCGCGTCGTGGATTCCTCTGCTAGCCACAACCAGCCAAATTACCATAATCCTCATATTGGTTAATGTCATCGTCTTAAATAATGGAAGCTATGGTTTCATCACGAAAATTCGTTCAGTTCACTTTGTAAATAAAGCAAGTTTGATCCTCTAGGAAAATATAACTTCCTTTACGGCTGAAGCTACACTTCACTAATGATTGCGGTGGGTCTTGAACTTTTCACAAACTTACTACACGATTTCATAATAGACTTATTTGCAGTTGTATATGCTTTTTGAGCGAAGATACATACTTTGCAATATTCCATGTACTTTTAGTGTATAACTTTAAGTTTGATAGTAGTAACTACATTTACTTACTTCTTTCATGATTTTGAGTCGTCTAAATGTCATATCTTCAAATATTTTCTATAAATCGGCTTCAGTGTGTTTAAAAACAGACTTATCAGGTCGTTTGTAAGCACTCTGTCTAGAAAAACCACTGAAATGTGTTACCGACATCTAACGAATACTGTGATCTTTTATTAAGAAACAAGCATTCGTTTTCTTCTAACTTAAACAAATAAAAATGCAAATTGTTTAATTTTATGAAGGTTATTGAGCTTAAAAATTTTTCAAGTAATTTAATTCATGCTTATACCTGCAGGGTCTATTAAGTTTCGTTTAGGGCCGAGCTTATATTATTTAGTACGTTCCAACCCGTCTATATTTCTCCCTGTAGTTGACCCACTAATTCATTCTTCTGATTGACCTACTTTGTTAAGTATTATAAATGTGACAACCACATTACTTTGCGACCTTCTACAATTTTCAGGAAACATTCAGTTAGTGAAATACCACTTATCATCTTCATAAAGCTTTTTATTGTAATCGATAGCGATGTTATAAAGTGAATATTATGCAATATTTTTGAGCAAACAAACTACGATTTATTTCTTTTTATTATATATGTTAATTTAGCTAACTGCAGAACGAAACTGGCTTGAATTAGAGTTCCTTTTGCACTCAGCAACCTGTTTGCACTTAGATGAACAACAAATGTTGGTGTCTATGCTCAACAAACTTCCTCAATCATATCGAGAATTAGTTTCACGCTATATAAGTGCTCTTAACCAAACAATTAATTTGTCTGGTTATTCGTGGGATACATCAGCTCGCTTCAGACGATTAGGTAGGTTTTTAAATGTTCTTTATTGCTATTTTTATATGGTAAAGTATCTTTTTGTATACGATAATCATTTACATTGAGTTAAGTAAATTATGAAATTCCTAGGCTTAATTGGTTATTGCAGTAGTTGCTGGGTTGGCCTTTAAAGTCACTCATATTTACAATGGTATGAACTCAGTAATACTTTAATGACAACCAACAGAACTGTAGTATTAGCTGGTCACGTAACAACAATAGCCAATGAAAATATTGGGGGACTTTAAAGGCCACCCTGACGACCGCTGAATTAACTTATCAAGTTTCGTTATTGCGGCTAGAAAGGCAGTTTTTTTCAAAAAATAGAAATACGTAAATTGGTAATCTCAGCAGTTGCTAGGGTCGCCTTTAAAGTCAGTCGAGAATATTGTTAGACACTCCCAAACCATACGTAAACTCATGTCTGCATCACATCCATCTAGACAGTAACAACTCATCGCCCTGTAGTTGGCAGGTTTTTCGAATACACAGTCAGATGTCACACATAATTTTCTGTAAGATGTTAAGATATAAACTTGCTAGGAATATATGATGACCAACAGCTGGCTCCTGAAACTTCCACTAATACGCTAGAACAACTAATTTACCGTTTAAAAAACTTAAAAAAACAGTGTATTTGGTCTCTAGGAGATTTTTAATTTTGTTTTGCATTTTACCGAATTCCCCCTTCATGAAAACATTTGATAAATACTCTTCAGTGTCTTAAACGTTCATTTAGTGACCAACTTTTGTTAACATTTTCATCTTTTTATCAAGTTGAATTGGGTGAAAGGATCGCAAACTATCTGAGGCCGCCTTGGTTCTTCTATTGCTCCCGTGAGGTAATTTCTAATGATGTTCCCTGAAAATTTTTCTGTTGGTTCTATTTCTTCAGCACGGCACATAGTTCTTGCCCATTTATTTCTCAGCACAGTAAGGTATTTTAGAAATCGTTAAGCTTTAAAATCCTCTGTATTATGATATCATTATCTATAACATGGAAGAAAAGCAATCTGTAATATATACCTTAGGTGAATAATACAGTCGAAATTTCCCTAGCTTTTTTGTAGTCCAAACAGATAAACTCACCGAAGTACCTATTCAGTACAAACTACCTTATCCACACTAAAAACAGCAAAGTCAAACACCTGACTGGTGTTACGAAGAAATGAACAGGTAGGTCTTGAGATATATCCATCAATGGGGAATCCCTAAAACACATAAAGCCTTTTTCATCCGTTTAAGAAAAGTAATTCGTATTACGATACCATTTACGTAAAATTCAAACTATTGACATCCCACAACTATACAGTATTAGATATTCTGTAGTGTTGCTTATACAGAATCTGTATCTTCAGTTTATATATGCATATAGTGTACCTAGTTCGGTGCCTCTGTAAAAGTTTAGTAAGCTGCCCACGCGTGTAATGAAAACGAAAAGGATTGTGACATAGGCTAGTAGGGAGATCAATGTTATACTGCAGGCAATTAAACTGAGAAATAGTTCTAGTCAGCCACTGCTTTTGCAAGAACAAATGTTCATCAGAATATTTCAATGCTAATCTAGGTAAAATCAGAATTACAAATAAGCCTTGAAAGTGTTACTTTATGTTTCAATAACTCCAAGCATTGCAAAGTAACTAACAAAAAAGATTATTCATGAAACCATCGTGATCTTGCACATCTGAGGGTGTTAACAGCAGCATATAGACTGTTGTAGTTCCCAGCTGACAAATCGTTATATTCCTTGCAGAATTTATTCATTTGGTTGATCTTGTTCTATAATATCTACTTAATATAACAGTTTTCCGTTGGTTCCTGTATAATATAATTAGTGTCGTTTCCCAGTATCGTTAGGATTCACTAGAACGTTCTTTGCTTTGTTCGAGTAGAGTTAAGGCCAAAGTAATTCCCAGGTCTGTTGAACTATTTCACTTGAAATTTGTATTTTATTGAAGCGTGTTAGCTTTGTGTACACCATAGTCTTCAGTTTACCTTCATACTGAAGTTAGTGCTGATGATGTCGTCTAGCGAGACGATGAAGGTTCCACGACTAAACAACCCAGCTGAGATAACACAACACCATCAAGACCTTCATTTGTTTTCATTTGAAATTCCAACAGCTAGATATTTCCTCATTTGATATTATTATATTACATGTTAGTATGTTTTTGTAACCATTTCTCAGCAAGCATTTCGTTGTTGTAATTCAGGAACATACTGAACGATAATAATGTTTGAAGAGACAATTTTTACTTAGGATCCCTCCTTGGACGAGCCTTTTTTGTATTCCCTTGTTCTGTGTCAACAAAGCAGCACTTAACTGTTCACACTTGAAACAACTTCAGAATTTAAGAAAACAAAGACGATTGGGGTGAAGAAAAACCTTTCTTTTCGACGAAATCATTCCCACTTAGCTGTACATTCATGAATACGTAGTAAAAAGGATAGAACATTCGAGAGTAATTTCCGACCAAAGGTTAATAAAAATTCCATCACATATGGGCTATTTAAGAGAACTAGAACGGCAATTGTCACAAAAAAGCCACATTCTTTTTGAACTGTTAACAGATGAAACGAAGAATTTGACGACCATGTTGCTACCATCACCAAAAAGCCCACGGATGGCGTCAACATAAAACTGAACAAGAGTATGAAGTCAATAACTTTTTTCCCAGTGCCCAGAAAAGTACATACTCAACTATTCGACTCCATCGCTGTCCTTTATTCAAATCCAGTTCCTTTCCCTTAACCCAACATCCAAATTTGATGAGCTCAACACAAAAGTACAGACTGAGAATACGATTCACCGAAAGAAAGGGCTACTTCCGACCTTATCTAATGACCTTGACCATTTCAAATCAACTGTTCTAGATTGCTGTATGGATTAAATGAGTAGAAAATCCAATACTTGATACATTCTACCGAACGAACATCGGAATCGGCTAAGGCATCTTCAGAAAAATGATACGCCCTGAAATAGTGCGTCGTAACAAATCGAATTATATAGGTAAGCTTCCATTCACTCTTTCAGATGGAAACAAATGTTAAAAATAAACAGTTCAGAAAGACTACCTATGAGATAGAGCGTCAGTTGCCGAAGACATTGAAGAAGATGGAAGATGAAGCACTGAACTCTACGAACAACTCCGTACGTCGGGCTTCATGATCCCTCGACTATATGGTTTACCCAAAGTGCACAAAGGTGTTCCTCTTCATCTGAAACTAGACATGAACAATTCTCCTTACGATTCAGTTGCAAAATGGCTCGTCAAGGTACGGAATCCAGTGAGGAATGAAATTTTGGAACAGCGTCCGTGACATATTTCACTTTGCTGATTTAATCAAAAATGTCAATCTGTCAGGAAAGAGGATGATTTCTCTGGATGTCACCCGCCTATTTACAAATGTTCCGCTTCATTCGGTCCCATTAATTAAACTTTTGTATCCACAGTCACTACTTAAAGGAACTTCTCAGATGTACTTTCAATGTGCCCTTCAGATTTAACAACGAGGTCTATAGATAGATAGGCGGTGTGGCAATGAGATCAGCTCAGGATCAGCTTTATGACAAGGCTGGAAGATATGAACTTATCGAAAATAATTAGCGAGCTTCATATCTGCAAAAGATATACAGATGATACCTTTATTATTTGTGACGAGAGTATGAATCTCGAAAACCTGCTTCAAACCTTCCAACTCATTCTAGAAGAAGAGTCGAACTCGAAATTCCACTTCCCTTACCTCGAACTTCAAAAAAAAGACGACATTCCATTCCAGATTTCTATTTACAGAAAGCGCACTTGGAACGGATAGTTTATTTATCTTAAAAGCTGTGTACCTTTAAGCAGAAAGAGGAATCTTATCAATTTGCTCTCCTCAAGAATACGAAGAATATGGACGTAGGATACTATGCATGATGAACAGAAAACCTGCGAGAAATCATGATTACAAATGGATACCCACTGAGATTTATAGATGAGAATCCAAAGCCGAAAACTCCACAGAACGTGTGCATGCTCTGAAAAACATCTTACTGTGGAATCTCGAATTCAAGGGGGATAATGCATCAGATATACTTAGAAAGAGACTATCAAGATCCATGGACAGATCATTCTTTCCTGCCAATCTTTGAATCATATGTTCAATGTACATCTTTCACGCTGGATTATTTTTCTGTTATCTATTATTATAACACAAACATGTTATCGCATGGGCACCTGACGGGGCCCTGGTTGCGCACTGATCCAGTGCTCCCAGGTTTCCAGTGTTTCTCCTACTGATGTCAGTTTATGATGAATACCAACTTGAAGAAACCGAGAAACGCGCCACACAAAATAATATAACAACATTATGAAAACAAAGGGAAGTGAAAAAAAAAATAGAATGATTTGAAAGGCACTCCAGTAAGATATATACAAAACAAAACATTCATTACTTTTCAGCGACAGAAGAAAGAAAGAAGCTACAGCATGATTGCTACTAGTTTCGATTCTCGGAGCCATATCTGGTAACGTCTCAAGCCTTTGAGTTGGGTGACCTCTCAGACCCCACTCAGGGAGTCGTGATTCACTAACAGATGCTAACCTGATAAAATTAACCCCCTTCCATGGCACCACATCAAACACTGACCACCCCTTCGCTTCTCCCATTCAGTCGCAGGGTCAGCAAAGAATGAACGGTATGAAAGCCATTGGGAGATGACATGCGTAACACATATCCAAGTCACCGAAGGCGGTATTTCCATATGACTTCACTTATTGAGTGACAGTCTCCATCAAGCTCAAACACACGCTGTCATACCTCAGAATTACTTACATGGTGTTCACATCGGATACAAGTAATCCTATGGAGATGACGATGATCTAACATACAGAGTCATCGCACATCAGCTCGGACAGACTAGGTTTCACAGGTGTAGAGCATACAGAACTGCTCGCACCGGTGCTGTAAACCCGACCCTTTACGGTCAAACTAATGTCGCGACAGCGCGAAAGGTTGCCCATTTTGGCGTATCCCACTTTGGCTTTTGATATCGAACTAGAAGTTTCATCATATACCTTCACCAGCACTCACATAACTACCTAGATACATGGAGTTTTCGACTACTTCCAACGGCTCATAACTAAGGGTGAGCTCTGACACAGGCTGCTCCCGGTATTGCTGAAGTACTTTGCACTTCGATGGTGCAAAGCACATACTATACTTACGGACGCTAATCGCCAACTAATTAAGTGCGATTTGAGTAGCCTGTATGTTATCGTACAGTAGGACGATATCGTCTGCATATTCATGGTTGAATAGCCGTTCTCCAGGTAGTAGAACTACACCACCATCACGCGACTCCTTCAGAGCTGTATCAAGAATGTCAAATTTAAAGAGGAATGGAGAAACCGAGCAACCCTGTCTAACCCTATGGCTGGTTTGGAACAATGGAGACAAGTGGTTGTATACCCTCACTCTACCTGAAATGTTTTTATATAGGGCTTTTGGAATTTTAATAAACTTCTCAGGCACGCCCTCTTTCTAACAGACAATTCCAGACCACAGCGCTGTCCAACGAATCGAAGGCAGCCTTAATGTTAAGAAACACGATTGTTGGCCTGCAATACACCAGAAGTCCCCTGCTAAGTGACGGGACGTCACCCATTCATAAACACAAAATATTCAATTCACATTAAATCAGTGTGACGTATAATTCATGTTATTGGCTACAAATATGGTTCTAAGTGGTTGAGCCTCACATCTTCATTTCTCAATAGAATACATTATTAGAAATCGGACCTGCTAAACTTTTTTTTACTTTTCTCTCTGTCGTGCTTTAATTTTCATCTATTAATTTTGTTTAGGTTGGTCTTACTGAAACAAACCAAGCACATTTAATTCGTAATGCAACTAATTTAATGCAGAAATACCAAGAAATTCAAAACCAATTTTTACAACTGTGCAATGTAAGTTTATGGAATGTATACGAAAAGTAAAATTTAGAAACTCTATATGCATAGCTTACTTAAGAACTAACAGGGGAATAAGACAATGATTATCATTGACATAAAACTAACTAGTTCAGTGGGGAAGCGTTTTGTCATTTGGTTTTGTTGTTTTTCTTCAACGCTAACAATTCATGAGTGTTCTCGGACTAATGCGTATTTATCGAACAGAATGAAAATCCATCACAGGTACTGTATCTTTTAATCTAACTATAAATTTTATGACAGGGTATTTTGCACATACTGTTGTTACAAAAAAAAGCTACACTAGTCATTCCCCCTCCGTAAATTTTTAACATTCTTGTAGTTATTGTGTCACATACACTTCCATACATACTTTGTGTTTATTAGCTCTTTGACAGGAAGATAAAACTTGGTTCGGTGGAATCAACACATGCTAAATCCTGACTCACAACTAAAATCATAGATGAATTAATGTGGATACACTAAATGCAAGCTATATTGTTGACTTACTTCAAGGTGTAGAGAATTAAACGTAAATGAATTATGCTTATGATTTAACTTGCTTAAAACGTCATATACCCTGGTGAATTGAAATCAATCTTTATGTAGTGTAATTAACACACTTGTTATGTTCTGCGTTGTATAGGTTTTTTCCCCTCCATCTCCAGTATACGTTTTCATCGTTGTTGGGAATTGCATCAAACTCGATATATACACATTTATGATCCGGGAAAGTTTTTTAGATGGAACGATATGAAGTGTCTTATTCCATGAATCTTTTTCTGGACTCTGTGAAATAGTGTGTGACAGGCATGATATACTCTCATGCGAATTATTTTACATTCCACAGACGTTTAAATAGTGCATTTATAAAGGTAGGGTATAAGTTAAAAGGATCTTCATAAACCCTCTCCTTATAATTAGTAATAGCTTAATCAGCTGATAAGCTGCGCATAGAAATATTCTTGTGTAAATGTGATTCATTCCAATAAGAACTTCCAACCAATGGGTCCCAGGTTCAAACGCTGTTGCTCCATTTACTTTGTTCGGCCTGAACGGTCGGTTAGCATCAAAGAACATTACATACTAAATGTAGCTTAAAGTGTTGTGGATGTATCTGTGTGAAGTTCAGCTGTACCAACTTAAAATATTCGCAATAAGAACTTTAGACTAACATTTTCTTACGTTGGACTGAATCACAGTCAGAAGCAGGTAGATTTCGAAATAGCGAGTGTTTTACATATTACATTGGATCCTTATTTTCATCTTTCTCTACTAATAGTTAGTTCTCCACCATGCTGCTAATGGTCTGATAAGGAAAAGTTAGTGCAGCACTGCAACATTTCTAGTCGTAACTACTAGAAATAAAATCAACAAGAGTCATCAAAACAAATATGATGCTTTAGAAACCTAAAATAAATTCACTGTTTATTTTCAACAAATGAATAGTATTTCCAACATTGAATCAGTATAAAGTTGTCTTAATTAGGGAGTAAGGTGTCTTATGTATATAAGTATAAAATAAGGGGTTTAACTAAAGCATTATATATTTCTTATATCACGCTTTTTTTTTTAAATATTTCATTTAACTTGACAGTTATTACAGCCTACGAACATTGAAGATATCTTTCGACTATTAAGTCATATGCTATCTAACTTAATTGAATTTGTGAAACATTCCTATGCAAATGTTGAAGCAGTGTATAATAACGTATTAAAATTAGTTGGAGATGAAATGTCGCCTACACCATATGATTGGTCTATTCATTTTCATTATTTTACTGAAGTGCATTTTATCACGTCTTGATCGATCAATATCAATGCTGTTAACAATGACTATGACGGTGATGATTGTATAAAGTCAGCCGATAATGATAAAGCCTTTACAACACCATCTTCGTTAAACAGTGAACTATGTAAACTTCTAACCAGCTTGATGAATGATATTAAAAGTAATGGACAGTCAACGGAACTTAACAGCTTCAACTCAGAGCACTGTGAATTGGTCATAAATACATACAAACAGTTGTTGGGCAAATTACCCGACCCGTAAGTTAAGCTTTTTCCTTCGCAAAAGTAATTCCGTGTTCTTATGTCTTTATTGAGTCCCTTGTTTGTACTGGTATATGCTTAAACTTCCTGACTCAGTGAATACTTAAAGCCTATGTAGATTTAGACATTCTAGGATGCTGTACGAGGGAATTCCTTGTATAATGTGATTTCGTTAACAATACCTTGAATCCCTAATTATTGTGGTATGAGACGAAATCTAGCAGATAATCCCTTGCTTTAGTTGTTATACTTCCACCATATTACAAGTAACCACAATGCAACCTATTTCTTGTTCAGAAACCACTAACCTACCTTGAATAAAGTATGTGCATGAGATAATTAGAAACTACACTGAAATATCCACTCAACGTTGTACGTGTTTGACTTAGCGACACACTGATCTTCCTCATCCGCATCTGCTGCATAGAAGTAAAAGAAACGTTTTATGAAATGCCTAGGTGGGTGTTGCTAATTTTTAGACACATGGTCATATGGCGGAAAATCGAATCCTCATACTATTTATTGAGCCTTAAATTGTCATTGTGTAGCTGGTTTTACGAGCGGTTTTCTTGTGAAATCTTGATTTTTATAGACCGAAAGTACCCATTGATATGCTGATCAACCTTATGAACATCTATGCGAATCACATCTGTGAAAGCGAATCGACCTCATGTAAGTGAGCTTAACTGTCTACCTTTATTTATTGTGATGAACCGACAGACTGTTTAAACTATTCACAATCACTAATTCGTCCTTTGTTCTGTGTGATATATATATAGGACTACTGTATCATAAGTAAATTTTTAATGAGAAGTTTACACACAATAAAAACTTATCATTGTGTGAAGTTGTCATTAAAAATTACTTATAATACAGGTTACCTATGAACCAAACAGAAGCAATTAAATTTTTGAAATTCTTTAACACATACACTACTTGAAGTTAACTGTGTCGATTTCAAAGGCAACTCTAAGAGAGGATTGGGTTTTAAAAAGGTGAAACACCTTCTATAACTATAAAGCTATCACAGTAATGTCGTGGTGTACAGACAGTATAACTACCAACTTGCTAATGAGGAGTTACAAACTTGAATAAACCATATACCACACAACTTTCGATAGGACGACTCACTTTGTGGTTAAACTCATTGTTGGAGTGTTTTAATATCTGATAGTAGACAAATTTACCGTTTAAAGTCACGGCAACTTAGAAGACAAGTCTAGTATTGTAGTGGGAATAAATCAGACAGTAAGATGACTGACTCACCAAATTGGTGCTTTTCATGATAGTCAGCTCATTAATCGTGATCTCCTTAAAAGCATGCAAGTCATCTATTTGTGTTAGGTGCATACTGCGTGACATATACTGATATATTATTGACCGATAGCTACTACCTTGACGTGGTGGTCGGGCTTGCATATCGCAATGACCCAACGAGCTATGCTGGTGAAAAGCTTGTTCCTTCGAGGTCCTACCATACGAGAAAGGTCTGTTGGATAGTGGCAAGACGAAAAGCAGTTACCGTTGTGGTGTGAATTGCTACACTATGATGGAGGTCTGAGGGCGTAATCGTACTGCTGCCGGCTGGATGGGGTGTGACAGCAGTGAAGTGTTTCCTTTGGATGACCAGCAGTGTATTACTGATGCTGCCTTCTCAGTGGGAGGAGGGCGAGTTAGAAAACGTCGGCCCCGAAAATCACACACTCCATGCCCTACAGTCTGCCGGGCCGGCGGTATTGGTTCATTTATCGTTTACTTCCGAGCATCCGGCCGCAAAACAACCATGCACAAAAGGCTGCGTGTGACAGGCCTCAAGCAGATGTTCGATGCGTCCTGGGGTCATCATCAACATCAATATCAAATAAGAACAGCCATAACTGCGTAACGGTCCAAGTTGCCACAGCTCAGTACAGTACACCAAGTAAAAAGGCAGTGAGGCGCAAAGTGAATATAAGAAAATTCAGTCAAAAGAGATACAAAGTACGAGAAGAGAGAAAGAAAGAATGACAAAATGGTGAGATTCGGCATAGAGTCGTTAAGATGAGGATAATGAATGTATACATCTGCACCTCTGACATCCGTTCTGAGTCATATCCCCTAGAGTCTCGAACCACTGGTTCCTCTTGTCCTGCGGACCCCAACCACCTAGTCTGCATTACCCCACATGGCTCAAACCAACAGTCAGAGACTTCATACATTGGTGCCATGTTTTAGTCTGGCCACCTCGGGCCTTTTTCCAGCCTGGACCTACTTCGGCCGACATCAACATTGTGTGACGAGACAATCGGCGACTAGGCATACGTAATGCGTGTCCTACCCATTTCAGTCGATCAAGGTTCATGACCTCGTCAACTGATTTTACGTCTACTGCCTAAAACTCTACACCTGACTTTTGCATTACTCACGTGGTGACACCACGGGATACGGCTCTGGGGTCACACATCTCTTTCAGGGACCTTAAGAAGAAACAGCCTTCCACGGTGTGGGCAGCCGGGAAGTGTCAACCGCCCTCACAACTATCAGCACTCAAATTTCCTCAGACTGCTATCCACCTCCCCATGATTACCTTCTAATCTTCCTTCACGTCTCTCAACTAACGACACTACATCATCTTCAATTTCTCCTAGCTCTGCAGCCTTCGACAACGATCTGAGTCCACAAAACAGCATCCTTAAACCACGCTCCAAATTACATGTTGGAGCCTTCAATGTCCACATCCTCCCTCAAATTGGTCAACAGGCTTCGTTGGCAAAGACTCTAGCAACTTGGGCCATGGATGTATGCTGTTTGTGAGACACGCATACAGGACGCAAGTGCGGTTATTCACCTGACCTCTCCCGGCCAATCTGATGAATTCGCAAGGTTCACTCTTCGAGTTTCTGGAGATTCGATAGCTAGCTCTCGCGGTCTTGCGGGTGTAGGACATAGCACTGAGCACTAGGGCAGAAAACTCACTACTAGACTGGATCCCAGTTGATAGTCGCCTCTGCGCTATCCGACTGAACGGCACAGTGAGAACTAAAAGGAATAGTGAGACTCGCCGTTGTCTCTTTGTAATCTGTGCTTACGCACCCACTGACTGTGGTTCGGTTGAAGTGAAGGACGAGTTCTACCGTTAACTATCTAGCCTCTTCTCGAAAGCCAAACGTTCGGACGTGGTAGTTGTTGCAGGCGACTTCAGTGCACAGGTGGTTAGCTTGAGTGAGGCAGAAAGGCACTTACGTGGTACTTTCGGAGTCCCGCCGAACGAACAGATAACGGTGATCCCCTAACAAAAGTATACTCGGATAACCACCTATTTTTAGCTAGCACAAATTTCAGACATGAAGAAAGACACTGTCTGACGTGGCGTCCACCGAGCTCAACTCAGCGATGGACACAGATAGACCACATTGCTATTAGTCATCGCTGGAGAGGATCGGTGGAAGACTGGCACTCCTTCTGGAGTACATGTTTAGATAGCGACCACACGTTGGTCCGAGCGCGTATATGCCTGCGTCTCAATGGACGTAAGAAAAATTTGGCTGGACAACGAAAACACCAAAGCCGTGTTGAGTGAGAAGTTGGCTAGGCAGTTATCGGAACAAAAGACTATCACTCATCCAGAAGAAGCTTGGTGCCATCTCCAGTCTGCTTTAAAAACAGCGTTGAAGACCGTAGCCGACTCCAAAATAGTGGCTAAAAAGAGCCAGTCAGTCAATCAATCAATCAATCAATCAGTATCAACATAGGATCAAGCATTACTGCGTATCAGTCTGAGTTGCCACAGCTCAGTACAGTACATCAAGTAGAAAGGTAGTGAGGTGAAGGATGAAGATAAGAGAATGCAGTCAAAAGAAATACAAAGTACGAGAAGAAAGAAAAGAGGAATGACAAAATGGTGAGATCTGGTATAGCGTCGTTAAGAGCCAGTGGATATCAACAGCTTCTTCCGAATTAATAGATGCACATGGACGCATCCCTGCAGGCTCTGAGTACAATGAAGAGCGAACGCAACTTAAAAGTAGACTGAGAAAAAGCCTACGGAATGACCGCGAACAGTGATGGGCACGAAGACAGCGGCGATTGATAACAGTAGACAGTTATTTAGACTTATTGAGGAAACGGGGGGGGGAGGTCAACAACAGTTAGTGAGGCTATAGCAGAGAAGGATGGGTCAGCGATTCACTCGCAGGCGAGACGACCGGAACGATGGGCAGAACACTTCGAGGAGCAGTTTAACTGGCCTCCAGCCACCATTACGTTGCGCGCTATTCAGTCGGATCCTGAATGGAGCATTGAGATAGGCCCCCCAACACTTGCAGAAGTCGAGAAAGCTGTAGGCAACCTGAAATGAGGAAGGGCAGCAGGACCAGACGGACTAACTCCAGAGGTATACAAGGATGGTGGTAAGGTGCTCTTAGTCAGGTTGACGGAAATGCTAATCGGTATATGGAAATCAAAACGTTCCCCTCTGACTGATCTAAATCACTGATTACCCCAGTGTTCAAGAAAGGCGAGAAGTCCTCTTGTGATAACCACAGAGGAATCAGCCTGAAGAACATAGTGTCCAAGATCCTAGGTTCTACAATTCTTCGACGCCTGAGTGGAGCTCGGGAACCGAAAGCCCGAGAAAACCAGGCAGGCTTTTGACCCGGCTGCAGGTGTATTATTATTATATTTATTAGTCCCTTGGATTCCTAATGGAACATAGAGCTTCAGTAGCACGTCTACATCCCACTCTGTTCTCTGAAATCTTTTGAACCTGGCTCCACGACTGCCCACAAGCTCTCATTTCCTCCTCGCACGATCTCCTCCATGTCACCCTCGGACGTCCAACTCGTCGCTTCCCATGGGGATTCCACTCGACTGCTTGGCCTGACGCGTGATGTCCCCAGTCGGACTTCTCAGTGTATGCCCAATCCAATCCATCTCCACTTCCTTCTTCTGCATATTTGTCCAGCGATAGCTTCTTGGTTGGTTCATTCCCAGAGCTCCTTGTTGCTTATTCTGATTATTCTGGCAATCCATCTGATCTTCAGTAACGAGCCAGCGTAGGCAGTTGTTGATGAATGTCTGTAGTTTATTGGAAATCCCTTTCGAAACACGCCAAGTCTCTGAACCATACAGGAGACCTGACTTGACGTTGGTGTTGAAAATCCACATCTTGTTCCACATGCTGAGTGCAGGAGATCTCCACACTGGTTTCAGGTTAATGAACGCCTGTCTTGCTTTCCCGATCCTGCCTGACTTTGACGTTCTCGTCTGTGCCTGTGTCCTCCTGTAGTTGAAACAGTGCCGCCTAGATAGGTGAAGAAGGTCACTTCCTTAGGTTTCTCCGGTTCATGGTGACTGGAGTTTGTTGTTGCTGTTGTTCTTGGTTGGGTATCTTCATCACTTCTGTCTTCTCTATATTCACTTGAAGTCCCGTCTTCGCTGCCCCACCTCTTCTGCCAACTTGTTAGTTTCGCCTGTAGATCTTCAAGTTTGTGTGACATCAGGCACAAGTCATCGGCGAAATCCAGATCTTCTAGGTTCTTTTCCGCAGTCCAGCGTATCCCCCTCTTCTCGCTCCCCTCTGTTTGCTGCATGATCCAGTCGACCACAATCAGGAATATCAGGAGCGACAGTAGGGAACCTTGTTTCACTCCTGTCTTCACTTCAAAAGCATCACTGAGCTTCCCATTGTGAATTACTTGGC